AACCCTGAGACAGGGATTGGAACAAGAAATTCAATAAAAGAAACTGCCAGAGATAGGATGAAGGAAGTGAAATGAGAATTAAGAAAAGAAAGATCCAAGAAGTGTGAACGGAACAATGTTGGAGCAAAACAAGAAGATGGATATGAATAACGACAATGTATGGAAGATTTACAGAAAATGGTGGAAACAGGAGAATCAAACGAGTATACACCCTGAGACAGGGATTGGAACAAGAAATTCAATAAAAGAAACTGCCAGAGATAGGATGAAGGAAGTGAAATGAGAATTAAGAAAAGAAAGATCCAAGAAGTGTGAACAGAACAATGTTGGAGCAAAACAAGAAGATGGATATGAATAACGACAATGTATGGAAGATCTACAGAAAATGGTGGAAACAGGAGAATCAAACGAGTATACTTATGATAAGATGTGTGATGTTGGAATAAGCTAACAAAGGAAGTAATGAAGCAAGTGATCCAATTCCTGAGAACCAAGCAGAACAAGAAGATGAAATTGCAGAGAACAGTACATCTGGAAGAAGTAAAACTCAGTACGAGAATGCTAAAACAGCAAGAAGTGAAAAAGTCTTGCTCAAAACAGGAAGTGAACTCTTTACTGGAAGTCAGAGAAAGGAAAACTGGTAGACGGGAACTTGGAAGAAACCATACTACCATAAGAGCGAGAATGAGGATAGAGGAGAATAATCCTAGTTCATTAGATAATATCCAAGATGCACGCTTAAAAAAACAAGAAGAGAAGAATAAACAGAATCCTTTTGTTTAGTTAATTTTGTAGAAAAAAATTTGTTTTTGGATCATACAAAGGTTTTTAGGGTTTTGTAGTGAATCTAAAATGCCCCTATGAAGTCTACTATAGGGGCATTAATTGTTTTAATATTTGTAAAGGAGGATGCATTTTTATAAACCAAACTGCACTTTTAATCTGGAAAAAAACCTTAATGCAAAAGGATATAATTGAGGATTTGAAATATCTAAACCCTTCTTTTAATGCACCCTGATGGTGTATACTGTATAGGCCTTTTATATTTTGAATTTATTTGATCTGATAAAATTCATTGTTTGAAAAATCAAAGGACTCTGACCTAGGGTTGGACAGAGGTAAATAGAGAATCATAGTTTGAGGGAAATGATAATTTTACAACTGAAAGAAAAATATCAAAAATGAAGAAAGAAAAATGAATTCTAACTATTATTTTTGATTGTAAAAGTGTTCTACACTTTTTGGACATAAATTGCTTTTTACCGGGAAGGTTCAATCCTTTTTTTGATTTAATTTTTTCCAAAGCTTTAGCAAGGGACACATATAATCTAAAAAGACGAGAACTTTATAGCACGGCGTGCCAAAAAATAGTGTTATAGGTAATTTTATGAAACGTTTGTGTACAATTGTCTTATTGCAATTTGTAGATAAAAAAGCTTTGCAACAAAGCAGAAGTCAAAATGTAAAGTTAGTTTTAATTTTATTTTCATTTTTATTGAAAAAAAAAAATTAGGAAATAACCTAATTTTTTTGGAAAAATTGGGAACCAATCAAAATTGTATAGCAACTGCACACGGGCTGTAATGTACTTCTAATATAACATGATTTCTTTAAAGCACGGTCCTGTAATATGCAGCTAATTTAACTTTAAAGCATGATGATTCCTTTATAGCACGATTCTATAATGTACAACTAATTTGACTTTAAAGCACATTACTTTATAGCGCTGTACACCTAATTTAACTTTATATCACAACAATTACTTCAAAGCGCGGTGCTGTATAATGCTGCTAATTTAACTTTAAAACATGATAATCACTTGATAGCACCGTGCTATACTATACAGCTAATTTAACTTTAAAGTACGATGATTGCTTTATAGATAAGTGCTATAATATACAGCTAATTAACTTTAAAGCATGATGATTACTTTATAGGGGCGGTGCTATAATGTACGGCTAATTTGACTTTAAAGCACGATGATTACTTTATAGCGCTGTACAGCTAATTTAACTTTATATCACAACAATTACTTCATAGCGTGGTGCAAATATACAGCTAATTTTACTTAATGGCATGACAATTAGTTTATGCGTTCATTATGGAATTCACGATGAAGTGAGTAAGAATGATAAAGTACATAATAGTTTCATAAAAAATATATATTTATATGGGTATCTTAAGTTACGTCAGAAGCCGCTTAACCCTATCTCTGCTGGGGTACTTGAAAACCAGGATATGGGGGGGGTCAATTTGACCCCCCCCCCCCCCTCTAAATCCCATGTTTGATGTCCAAATATGACAAATGATACATCATTGGAAAGCTCTTGTGCTCTACTTTTAGAATCTGCAAAAAAAATTACCCCCCCCCAGCAGGAATAGGGTTTATACATTAAATACTGTTCTTTTTTTATTTTGATATCCTGTTTTTTATTTTGGACTAATTTTTGGGTTGAAATCAGTTTTTTGTTATTAATATGTTGAAATTTTTAACCAAATTCAACATTTTTAAATTTAATGTTTTTTAAAACAAATCTATGTATTTTTAAAAACATTATTTTTCGCGTTTGTGAATTTTTTTACTTAAATACTCACTAAAACCTGTTTCCTCATTGCAATTTTTATTTACAGAAATATTGTGATATCATAAATATTGTTTGTATATTATACAAGTCCAGTCCTATTCCGAGTGATAATTATGCAATCGTGAAATCGGCCCCCCTTCTAACACTATTTAACAAAAATGAGCTATCGTCTAAGTTTCCCATCAGGATATTTAGGATAATATATTTCTCTCTCTTACATATTGGAAAGATTATTCCTATTATTCCTGTTTAGTTCTCTATTTTCTGTAATAAATCCTCACCAAGTTAGGAATAGAAGAATAGCCTTGAATATATATATAAGGGGAAGAATACTGGCGAAAAGATTTCTAATCCAATGTCCAATCCTATAAGATAAAACTATTTTAAACAAATCTGGCAAAAACAAAATATTAGTTTTAATTGAAAAAGTTTTCAAGTGATATGTCCTCCTAAAAAAAATGTTTTCGAGTTGCCTTGGCCGAGAAATGAGGAGAATGCGGCTCGGACGAGAATTTTTTGATGTTGGCCTTCCACCCCTCGTTCGATGTAGGATAAATAATCTTGAGAAACTGCTAATTTATGCATCTAGTTAATTAGGTTTCAAACGATAGATTAGATAATATAAACGCGACATATAAAACTAGACTTAATTTCTTTCTAATTTTGAATATTAAAATGTTTTTCCAAAAAGCTACCGCCAAACGATTTGGTTGTATTAAAGCAAATAGCTTTAATACCAGTAACTGATAATCAACTTATTAAGAAAATGGATCTAAGTTTACTACTTTACTTCCTCGTTCTTAAACAAATAAAATAACATCACAATTAAATAATACATGCAGTTATTTTTATGTTGAAACATATATTTAATTTTATACAAATTTATTTACAAAACATGTTATAAATCTTTCATTATAATATATATATCTTTCTATCTGTGTACATCATATTTCAAATGAATAATATTTTTCAATTAAACTTGTATTATCACAATGGTTTATTGTAAGATATAATACCAACCCTTCCCCTCCTAAGAGACGGCTATTTAAAGAAGCTTAGTCTAGAGTTTAAATTCCTTAATCTTATCTAAATTAGACTCAACTTTAAAGGACAAACCTTCCATATGGTTTGGAAACTTCCCAAATGAACAATTTTCCCAAGTGGTGACTTCCAAAAGAATAGGTTTGGCCTTCTGAGGCGCTGCAGGCTGGAATGGGGGGGGGGCGAGCACTGCGGCTAGGATGGACTTAAGAAAGTTTCTGTCCGAGATATCGCACATTTGGGAAGTTGCCAGGTAGGAAAAATACCCATGTCTAATTTTAATCTCAGTGTCAGCTTGCTCTTGAGAATAATTTTTCTTGCTTTATTTTACTATAGACCTCAGAAACGAGGCAGGGTGAGGTTACATTCTAAATATTTTGAGGAAACACAATTTATTCATAAATTGACAAAGCGGCTTATTTAAATATTCTAACTGTGTAGTTGATCCTCCATCTGGACGGAAACCTACCCCCCCCCCTTGCACTGGGAAAGAAACACAGAGGTGTCCAAAAAGCTTAGGAATGAATGTCGCCTTTTCTCTTTGTTTTATTGAAATATCACTCAAATATTTGAAATTTGCAATTGTTATGATTGACCTATTTCGAAATCCTATGGTGGCATATTTCATAATTAAGAAAAGAAGAGAAAAGTCACTTCTAGGTATTCTGGGAATAAAAATAAAAACTTACACTTTGGCTATGAACCAAATTATGGTTTATAATGTTAAACAATTTGAATTAAAGTTAAATAAATTTCTTGTCAAAACTGTCCAATATTATAATATTATAAAAATCAAAAAAGCAAGAATATCTGTTTTAATAAAACCAAAGTCAAAATGGTATGTGACAGGAGATTTAGGATTTTGTTTTATTTTTTATTTTTTTTACTTTTTGTTAACATTTTTCAGATAGTACAGAAATTAACATTTACTTAGCAAGTGTCATTTTGAAATTTGTTTGTAACACTTGTTTTTTTTATTTTTTTCACTAGTTTTATTGAAGTGGTATATATATATATATATATATATATATATATGTTATTAGGACCAAATAAATTCTGGTACAATCAATGGCAACGAAGAATTTGTACACTCTCAGTACAGCTGTATTCTGACGTCACAAGTGTCAATTCATTTTTTGTGCCCGACAAAATTGTTAATAATAGTGATAATTTTAGAATAAAGTGTTTATATTATAGTAAAATAAGTGCAATTATAGGATTTTTTTATTTTATGTTTTTACACTATTTATATAATCTTGGAAAACATGTCAACACATTTGAGAAAACTTCGTTTTTCTTGTTTTGTTTGACACTTGTGATAATTGGTCCATTTCTTTGTTGCCATCTATTGTACTTGACAATCTATTGATTAGAACTATATATATATATATATACATGTAAATCAGAATTATATTTGTATATTCATTTAATTATATTGTGACACCATTTATACTTCACTTTCTTCCTTCCCTTGTTCTAAGATGGTGACTCTCTTCTTCCTGAAAATAAAGTTTTGAAGGCACGGTGAAGTGGTATTTTTAGGCACATGAAGTGGTATTTTTAGGCACTTGAAGTGATATTTTTAGGCACTTGAAGTGGTATTTTTAGGCACTTGAAGTGATATTTTTAGGCACTTGAAGTGGTATTTTTAGGCACTTGAAATGGTATTTCTAGGCACTTGAAGTGGTATTTTTAGGCACTGGAATTGGTATTTTTACATGGATTTGAAATTACTCCATTAGTATCTTCTTAAATACAAAAGAATTGAGTCTTTCCCACAATCTCTGGTTTTCTAATCCATATTCTTGCAACCCAATGCTGTAGACCTTTAATATTTTAAACTATGATTTTTTTAAGATCAAGTTTATGTTTGACATATAAAAGGTTTACAACGCCAGGTTGCAAAGATATAAGGATGGGAAGGTATGGGTTTGTGGCAAAGAATTCCTTTAGCAACTAAAAAACCGTCTTCCTTGGCCTAATCTAGTTCTGGAAAATGTTGGATTTTTATAAATCAAAAAATTTATAATGTTTGTCGACTTTTCTCTAAACTACAAATAATTGGATAAATGATTGAAGAAAATTTTGTGCACATCAAAAAATCTCAGTTTTGTTTGTGTTTTTTTTTTCGAGGGAAGGGGGCTACCCAAATTGACCAATAAATCCACCTTAGCACGATACAAATCCTTTGAGTTATTTGAATGTACAGAGTGTCCCAATTAACATGGGAATTCAGTGACGTATTCGATATCGTCTTTTTCAATAATTCTTTGTTTTAGTATAGTGAAACCTACTGAGAAAGCTGTAATCTGTAAGAGTTTGTCTGCTTTGTTCACATTTTGTTTGTTTATGTTTTGACTGCATAAGGGTGTACACTATACAAACAGAGTAAACTTGTCTGTCTTCAATGTTCATCTTGCGGAGACATTATAGATACATCTTTACAGTCTTTTACCCTTTTTTTAGCATAAACTCTAGCAGACATAATAATATTATGGCTTTTGAAATTAGGTATTACATTGCTAATTCAACAAAGACGATATCCAATTCGTCACTGAATTCCCATGTTTTTTGGGACACTTTTGATACTAGATTGACCTAGTTGATGTTGTAGACTAACCTTGTACATGTATGGTAGAGAGGGTAAGATGGATGACTTGTGTTTTGTTGTTTTCTGTCTAATGTACATATTTCATAGGGTTTAATCACACTCCCAGGACCAGAAGAACCTAAACATGAAAAGGATTGTTTACATATTACAAAATAGTCCTTATATCCCAAATTTGTGGGAATTCAAATGTATTTAATTTAATCATACATTTCTTAATACATATCGAAAAATGCTTTAATATTAATTTTAAGTCCTCTTATTTAAACTATTAAAAAAAGGGAATTTACGAAAAAAGAAAATATATCTTTTTATTTTTATTTTTCATAATTTCTAAAGTATTAATTTTCGACTAGAAAAAATAAGCTGAATTGTATTAACCTGTTTCTGTAGGTTTATTTCTTACTCTCTGAACAGATATCACCTCCCCATATCCACTAAAATATAATTTATCATTCTTTATAATTTAGGAATATTTATATTTTTTCAAAGAAAATTCTACACATCAGCATGAATATGGAAACCATATTTGTATTTCTTTGAAATATTTCGTGACAAGCAATTTTATGACAAGCAAGAATTTAAGAAAGGACTAGAAAGAAAATGTAAAACTGGAAAGTACAATTGGAAAAGACAACAAAAACTTTAAACAATTTAAAACATTGTTTCTATATTTTACTTGCATATATTAAGAACGAATAATAAAGGAACTGATTATTGTATAAGGACACAATCATAATGAGGGGGGGGGCATATATTAGACAGAAATTGCCCAACATGGATAGGATTAAATTTACTAAAATCTGTCAGATTTCCTTATAAAACTTCTGTTATTAAGAAAATATATCGCAATAAAATAACTTATATGTACACCACACACCAACACCCCACCAACATTGAAAAATAATGTTATTAAATTATCTATGAAAAAATGGGACAAACAAGAACAAATTGTGTCAAAATGATGTTTTTATCAAATTTTATTCACGTTTTAATTTTGGAAAATCCTTTTATTTGCTTTTTTTCACTTTCTTCCAGGGTTTAAATTTGAACTGTTTTTTGTTGTTTGTATTAATTAATGTGTTGTATTAATTGTCTTAAATACGATTGAAGTTTAGACAATTTTTTAATGTTAATACTAAGCAAACCATTTGAAAAAATTAATAATTTGTTTTACTGATTGCTGTAACGGTAGAGAACTGAGACCTAGGCTATAAATTACACTGATAAAACTGCATTAAGGGATTTCTAAAATTTTAAACGTGCATAAAATTTGCCACAAAATTTGTTTTCCCTTGGTTGAAAATGTTTTATTAAATTTAAATCTCCAAGAGAACGAAGACATCAGTTCAAAATTACTAATTCTAAGATACATTCTTTAAACAAATACTGCGTATTCCAGAATGATGCAAGTCTAGCTAAAAACTAATCTCTAGTTTTTATGAAGGCAAATCTTTTGATCCATGCAATATGTCCATTAGAAGAAAAACTGTTGTAAGTAGTGCTCTAGGATATATATTATCATTTTACAAATCCTTTGGTTTGACAAGGCTTTGGCAAATAATTTTAACAAGCTTATTTTATTTTAAAATTGGTGGTTAAAGGGACTGTAACCGTAGTTTAAAGTTTCAAGATTTACAAGCTTTGTCAGAAAGCTTTGTCTGATCAAGTATTATGAATTAAACATCAATGTTTTTATTCCTTTAAAATGTTTTTTGTTCATCTGCGGTTTCTCGATCTGCGCAATCCTTGTTTACAAGAAACAATGGAGAAACTAACAGAAATATACAATTTTCGAGTTAGAAAAACGACAATATCTTTCACAATTTTGATCAGATTAAGGTTTAAGGATAATTCAGACATTGCCATCTTTGTATAGAGGGTCAGTAGGCGTTAACGGTTTAGAATCAAAGAAATTGCATTTTTAATGTCTGTTTGATTTAAACGAAAGTTTTGTTGTAAGTTACCGGTTTCTCCTTCGCAAACGAAATGGAAATTAAGGTGTTCATTATGTACTTTCCTAAATACATTTGCCCAAGTGTCAACTTCCCTAAGTTTAGGTTTGGCCTTCTGAGGAGCCTCAGCTGCAATGGGGCCGAGCGCTGCGGCTAAGATGGGCTGGGGGTTGAGCACTGAGGCTAGAAAAGACTAGGGCCCTAGCGCTGCGGCTAGGATGGGCTAGGGGGTTGAGCGCTGCGGCTAGAAAAGACTAGGGCCCTAGCGCTGCGGCTAGGATGGGCTAGGGGGTTGAGCGCTGCGGCTAGAAAAGACTATGGCCCGAGCGCTGCGGCTAGGACATACTTGGGAAGTTATCGCCTGGAAAATTGCACATTTTGAGAAGTTGCCACTTCGAAAAAGGCCTTTGGGAAAGTACCTAACATGAAAATTAAGAGACATTTTTTTGAAACGGAACTCTTTCCATCCCTAATTCTTTCTTAAGTATACAATAAATATCATACGCAAAACAAGTCCTAGCTGAGAGAGATCCAGAATGAGTCGAAAGGTTGGTTCAATATTGAATTTTTAAGACTGTGTCAACTTAGAAGTGTCGCATTGCCTTGGCTTTTGATTAGTCCTAGACATGTGCATTTTAGAAATATAGATCACGTGTTTTTGCTAAAGTGTTTTAGGAGTAATTGGTAAAATTCTCATAGATTTTCCTTTAGTTCTACAGTGATAATATATTGAATTTTTCAAGAAAAATAAAAATCTGCGCGGGTCTAACCTTAGTCAAATCCAATTAGATTATCCTAGTCCTACACTGGGAGAAACTTCCAATCTTCGCGTCAAAGTTTATTTCTTGCTTGTGTATTGTTTTGAAATTAAGCATTTAATCTATTCCCATCCTTCACTATAAAGAATATACATTTATTTGCCTGTATAGGCTACAATCTTCAGTATGGACTAAAACATCAAATAATGGAGATGGATGTTGATATTATTTAAATCACTTTATTAATAGATGACACTCATGTAAGTATCAGTAGGAAATCAGTATAAAACTTGTACTTTTTAATGTTATACATATTGTTGCTTATAATATCTAGTTGTTTTTTCAGTTAAAGTATCATCTGTTCTATATTTATTACCATCAAATAAAGAAGCAGAGAAAGAAGTTTTAAATTATCATGACTCATAATTATGTTTTGTAGAAATAAGTAGCAGAACCACTTTCATGCTACATCTTGAAATATTTCAACAAAAGTTGTATTCCCCAGGGATCGGCTTCTATACAAATATGAAAGCAATTCTGTTTTCAGATTCTTTTTGATGCACAAGCTTGAAAGGAGATATTGAAGGATATTATTGTCAAGATAGTAAGCATTCTTTTAACCCTATTTGACCCGGGGGGGGGTCAATGTGCCCCCCCCCAATCGTTATTTTGCGATAACTCAAAAAGCATTTGAGCTAGGAAACTCAAATTTTTTGGCTATTCTAACTATGACATGCCTCTCACGCTAAAAGCTGGACTTTTATACCTACTGCCTGAGTCCTCAGGCATACTGCCTAAATGCCTTCATTTATCTACACTAGACTCTATCAATATTTAGATATTTCAAGATTTTATAGCTTTTTGAAAAGCAGGTAGATTGCACAGTTTTTGCAAAGAAACTTTGCAATGATTTTTGCACAGATGCCTTTCAAAGGGATTTGCACATCTTCAGTTTTTCTTGTTTACACATTAAGGTTTAACAAATTTTGCAAATGTTTTGCATATTTGAATTTGCTGGGTCGAGGGCTTTATGAAAATGAATAATTTGTTGCAATTTGCACAATTTTTGTTTACACATTTTTTGCTTAATAACTAGATCTCGCAATAAATATTTGAATGTTTAAAAATTTGCCATTTTTTGCAGATCAGATCAAACCTGACGTCAGGCTAAATAGGGTTAAGGGGCTGTTGTTATAGTTTAAACAGTTTTTATTTCTAGAAATTATATCCATTTTTCTGTAGCTGAAATCCACAAGTCACCTTCAAGGCTTAGTGAAACCAAAAATTAAATGTTCAATTTTTAGAGCTAATTTTTGATCATATAAAGCTTTGAAGTTTACCCCTGTGATTTGGAAATGGGATCATATAAATGAAGTCCCTTCAAATTTTCCTCTTAAATATTTTCCAGTCCAAGGTTGTAGAGATCATATAATGCTATTTTTTATGATACTGCAAAAATGTTGCTTCTTGATTTACAAGCTTAATAAAACCAGTTTTAACAGAAACTTTAAATGTCCCTAAACCATTAAAAAACATTGCCCTGATACTCTAAATTTGAGGCAAATCGGGCAAAGAGTTTTTGAATCATGATCGGACATAGAACAAACATAGATACACAGAAATGTTATATTTCTTGTTTAGGGTTACAGAGATTGAATGTACATGATTCAAGGTTGGGCAAATATATATGAATATATAGATATATAATATCAATTTATGACAAATGAACACAACTTTCTGATTGATATAATATCACAGTAATATATGTAACCCAAACAAAATTTGAAGCAATTTTGTGAAGGTGTTCATGAGCTATGATCAAACTAACAGAAACACAGAGAAAACTACACTAAATATATAGATAACAATTTTTTATTTGCACCATTACAAAACAAACTGTTTAAAATGGAATTGGATCTTTGCAACAAACTCTGATTTTTTAAGCCTTATATCATTGCAGCCCAATGTCATAAACCTTAGATATTTAAAGCTTTGAATTCTGTTAGATCAAATAATCTAAGATTGGAATAGCATTGGTTTATATCTTTACGTGACAAAGATATAGATATTAGAAAATTTGAGTTTGTGGCAAAGACTTAATCTATATAATAAGGCTTTTTGCTCATATATATATATATATGTGTATGTATGTTAGCTATAGCTGGCCAACCGGCTCAACCAAATTACCTAACATTTTTTAAGGGAAACCATGGGTTTCCTTCAAATTTTTTTTATTTACCGGGCAATGCCGGGCACTCTGCAGCTGGTTCGTTTATAAATATTTAGGATTTGAAGTTAGGTTAGTTTAGGTTAATATATATTTGGCATGTTATTCTGTGGTAGAGATATTGAGTTTAGATACATCTGCAGGATTAGTTAAACTAGAAGAAATCTTGAGAATTAGGCAAGGATTCAGGATTTCATCCGCCAACATTGGAACTGCTTTGTTAACAAGTATTTACACAATAGAAAGAAGAGAGATATTAAATTCTAGTCTGTTTGTAATGTTCACCGACACCAATGCATTACAGGTAAGGAAGCAAAATTAAAACGCTTAAATTATTCACATAGATCCAAACTGCTACAAAAAGAATAGATGCAGAACCTGAATCATTGAATTAAAAATGTCCAGGTTATGAAATGAAGCTTGCAAATATTCAACGGTTTACAGATTCGAACCCGGATATTTTCTGATATTCATAAAAAAACCCGGAATTGTTGCAGGTTTATTTAATGGCGACCAGAACTTTTTCAGTTTGTGGAACACAACTCGAAAATTTTTCTGGTTTACGGAAGAGAACACGGACATTTTTCCGGTCAATCAAATGAAAACTGAAATGTTTACGGTTCACGGAATGGAAACCGGAAATTTTCCTTAAACGGACAAATTTCCTGGAAATAATTTCAGATTTCTAATTCATCCGGATTTATCCTGGACTTCTATTTTCAATTAAAATGTAAATTTTTCTTCGGAATTATGGAAACCCAAAGAGAATATATTAGCATAGAGTGGAATTAACTCGAAAAAAGTGTAAAACGGCCATTTTGTTTTCTAACTGCAGAAGTACTTCACATATTTGTGCTCTTTGGCCTTTTGGGCCTTGCAACATATCTCTGTTCTGTGGTGAATAAATTGGCTTTAATTTAGAGTAGAGGATGGATTTTGAAAGACACCTCTTATAAAAAAATATATTTTTAATAAAAAGAAAGTTTTAACTAACCTGGGGGGAGGAAGATTAGTTGATATAAGAGATAATTGTGAGGGTGGAGTCTCAGTGATTTTTCTGTAAATTTAATTTAATATTTTATTTTCTTCACAATTTTATTTCTTTAAAAATAAGATATTACAAATAACATAAAATAACAAAAGAAATACTTTTTCTCAGAGAAATTGTGTTCTTGCAACAAACATCGATTGTCTCATCCCTTAGAGTTGCCTAGACCTTAGATATTTCACTTAGATCTAGAAAACTGTCAAATTATTCATAAACATTTTTAAAGATGTCGTTTATTTTTTGCAGCCCTAGATCTATACATTTGTTAAATTGCAGTTCGCGGTGATTTCATTCTATGAACGTTTGATCAAATAACCTAATTCTGAAGAATTTAAACAATCAGATTCCAAATAATTAAGGATTAGCAAAGGATTTGAGTCTTTGCAACAAATCCCAATTTTTTAATACCTATATATCTACAACCAAATTATGTAAACTTTTGATATTTCAAACTTTGATTGATTGATTTAACAGAAGTCATAGTTTGCAATATCTAAGGGTTACAACATTGGGCTGTTAAGATATAGGAATTTAAAAATCAGAGTTTGTGGCAAAGACTCAAATCCTTTAGATTAGGGATTAGAAAATCAGAGTTTGTTGCAAACACTATTTTCTTTTTATAAATGCCTTGTAAACCTTATAAAAGTTATCCCACTCAACTTAGAAGATTAAAACCAAATTATGCACACTCACTTAGTTCTTCTGAGAAACCCATCCAAAGTTTGAGGGAAATCGACAAAGGGGTTTAGAAGTTATGATCGGAAATACAAACATACATGAAACCCAAACAGAGATTACTACTTTATATTTATTTATACATTATATATACCTTTTGTTAGATCTTCCTGGTAACTCATGCTGGTATTCACCTCCATACACATCTAAATATTTATATATACGTTGCTTGTCTGTTTTTGTCTGTCTGTCTGTCCTTTTGTTTCCAAGGCTAAACAGTTCGGGCCCGAATTTTGCGTGAAACCTCAAATTTAGTATGCTCAAAATTTGGTAAATTTTGAAAATGCGCAAAAAAATAATATGAAATACAAATTTTTTGTTTTGTTTTTTGTTTTTTGTTTTATATTCTATAAAGAGAAAATACTCACAGAGAAAGCCTCATTTAAAAGTTTAAATAAATGGACACAAAGCCCCCTAAAAACCTAGTATATATATTAACGTGTTTAAAAAAGCTTAGCTAAATTTGAAAAATTTCGCGCGCAATGAATGCGGTTACTTATTCCATTTCTCTATATCCAGTGAGAAACTGTTGAATATTTTATGTCCACAGTTTTTACACAATATGATATGATATGATCGCTACTAAATTGCTTAAGATGGCCAAACAAATGTTCATTAAATTATCAAGTTTTTCTTGAGCGATCAAAGAATTCAAATCCATTAAAATAAAATAAAAATTTTTTATACGAAGTGGTATTTCTGACCATAGCTTGGTCAATTTTTCGATTTAAAAAATGTTTAGAAATTTCATTTTCCTGAACAATTTCTAAGAAAATAAAGCTTTTATAAACTTAAGCAGCGATTATATCCTACGATTCTTAAAATAATACGCTATAATTTTAGAATTGGTGCTCACCGCGCGTGCAAATCGCTGATATTTAACAACAAAAGGGATATTTCAAAGGTTTACATCATCAGGTTAGAAAATATTTAGGGATTAGAAAATTTAAGTTTTTGGCGAGTAATCAGTTTTTTTCGATATTACTAAATGTTCACAAAAGGAGTTATTTCTTCTTTATTTAAAAAATATGCGTCAATTTCCATATAGTATAAATTTTTACAATTCATTTTCCTTGAATTAATTTCATATTGTTTTCACATTTATCAATAAATGAGATCAATTGTTTTATCAGTTTAAGGAGTATTTTGAACCCTATAATACCCTAGGATTATATTTAAATTAATTTAAATGATTTGTACACACAAACTATATTATATGAGATTAGGAGGATGGGTTACGGTAAACTTTGTTAATTGGTCCTTCTCTCAACTGAGTTACAGTGGCTGGGGACTATTTAATTACAGAAACTCAGATTTCTCAGAGTGCAAATAAAGCTTTATATGAGAAAATGTTATTTCTACATCAAACAATAGGTACATTTTAGCTGTAAAACTTTCAAATGATTTGTAGAACTAGATAGCTAGCTTATGATTTGTTTTCAAAACATTAAAAAAATTACAAGACTAGATTGTCGCAGTGCAGAATTCTCAGTCAGAATGCATTTTTTGACCTCAATTTTTTCAATAGTATTCACTTTAGTATTGCTTCGCACTTTATTGGGCTGTGTTAGAATTTGTTTAACCCTTTTTAATTAATTCTCGAGGGTTTCCAACGCAAGCGAATTTTTCTTGCGTGCATTTGGGAGCCATGTAAACTCCGAACAATTCATGAACAGCTGCGCGCGCAAATCCGCAAAATAGTTGGAGAACAAACGATAATTTTGGTAACGAACGAAATAATTCTTTAAAGCGATTAAAAAAAAAAGAACGAAATGGGTCGTTCACAAATGATGAATGAATCAAATGAAAAAGTCAAACGTGTCGAACATCTCTCACCCACCTCTGCCCCTTTAGTAAAAGTAAATTCAAGATATAATGAAGCATAAAGTTTGACCACGTCAACCTTGTTGCGCTGGCTAGTCCTGTCCATAGAGCTAGGTATAGTACAAACTAGGACCGGAAAGGATGACCCAGCTCGGAAATTCAAATATACTACGGCTGCCCGTGATCTTCAGTGTCTTTCAAATAGGTAATAAATATCTAAATATGTACATGCATATATTAAGTTATGACTGATTATGTTATGCATAGTACAAAAGTGCCATTAACGTTTCCTCCATTATTTATGGAATTTTTTATTAGTTTTTTTAACATTTCGTTATTTTCCGAGTTATGTCCTGCCCTATTATCCAGTGAATGTTTAGTTTTCCGAGTTATGTCCAGCCCTATTATCCAGTGAATGTTTAGTTTTCCGAGTTATGCCCAGCCCCATTATCCAGTAAATGTTTAGTTTTCTGAGTTATGCACAGCCCTATTATCCAGTAAATGTTTAGTTTTCTGAGTTATCTCCAGCCCTATTATCCAGTAAATGTTTAGTTTTCTGAGTTATGCCCAGCATTGGACGTTTAATCATGAAACCATTTCCATCGACCAATAATGTGATGTACAACCAGAATCGTAACCAATGAAACTATGTAAAATAAATCTTTGTATAGTATATATATATGTTTTTTACACAAACTGCAACCCTTTGTGATTTAGTATAAATACCATGTAAAGTCTATGTATTGCCACTCTTCCATAAGTTATTGTGAAATATACTTCTGACGGACTATAACATCTTCTAAATAGTAAGTCTCTTTATAAATTAATATCTAAGAGTCATAATTTTAAGTACTTTAGATTATCTAATTGTTGAAGATAAAATGTTAAACTATTAGAACGATCAATATTTAAGGAAGCTATTCTAAGAGAATTCAATTTAGTCTTGAAGAGTTACATAAAAGAATAACTAAGTTAGTTTAAAAATATTATACTTAAAGCACATTAGAGATCAAAAGTACTAAAATTATAATCATAGAAAACGTGTATTGACACACCTATTATCCGGTAAATGTTTAGTAATCTATGGAAAACCAATATTGTCCTTTTTCTAATTCCAACACAACCAATATTGACAACTTTGCTTCAAATTAAATCGGTTTTTCAACTTTAAATTTTCATAAATCAGTAGATAATAAAAGCAGGAATCTGTGGGGTTATTTACCCCCCCCCCCCTAGAATCCTGGGGGGTAGAATCCTGAACTATTCAGGCCCTGAAAAGCGAGTTGTCCCTTTGTTTTTGTTTTTAAAAAAAAGGTTGATTTTAAAATTGAATATCGTGAGAAAATAATTCAAATGTGCAGATACTTCAGATATTTCAGATTTTAAGTCAACATATTCTAAATGATTCTAAATTCTAATGTCATTACAATTAGATGTTTTTTTGATAAAAAAGGGTATATGGGCAATGAAAAATACATTTTTACTTCTAATTATTGTCATTTCCATATCAGATGTATTTAAGATCTTAACATACTACATTGACGACAAGAAAATTTTAGAAATTAGAAACAAAGACAATATTTTTTCAAAGTTTTGCAGAGTAGCTGTTCTAAAGATTTTAAGAAGTAACATCCTTTTCCTCTTTGAGTGAAACTATTATTTTTTATCTTACTTAAAATAAATTCAGTTTTATTACAGATCTTTGTAGTTAATGAAACATTAATGACTATAATGAAGGATATAAAACAAGGTGAAAGCTGAAAGGTATGAAATGAAACCTTTATTTGATGGAGTTTGTGAATGCCAGAAATGAGTGGAAAGTGCAAATCAAACCCAACTAAAACCAATATTTTGAAAAAATTCTAGGGGGGGGGGGGTAAAAAAATTAAATTTGAAAATTATTTTACCACCCCCACACCCCACCCCCCTACAGAATCATATTTTACGACCCTGGCAGGAATAAAAGGCATGTCCTCTGTATTTATAAAAAGTAGAATAATCAGACATTTAATGTTTGTAAATTCGAAATACTTTAAGTACAAGAAGATTTTTCTTGACCAATCATTAATTCAATCGTTCAACTGGAATATCATCTGTGACCATGCAGTTAAAACCTGTATCTAAAAGCGAAGATACAATTGAAGAAATCGTTGGTTTCTATTTAAATTTGGAAAACTGTTAACTTCTGAAAATTTTCTTATTTATGTCTGCCAACGGGCAGCCGTAGTACATTTGAATTTCCGAGCCGGGTCAACCTTTCCGGTCCCGGTTTGTACTGTATCGCCCGGGCATTGGGTAAATAAAGCAGACACTCTATATATAGGACTAGCCGGTGCAACAAGGTTGACTCGGTCAGCCTTTAGGTTAAATTTACTTTTACTGAAGGGTCAGAGGTGCGTGTGCCGTAGGAATCCGCAATGACATTACAGAGAAACCAGAATTAAAAATAATCAATTTTCAGATAAAAGACAAAGGTTACCGTTGTGAATCGGGCATGCCCTTCATGAAGGGTCATTTAAAATCTCGTTAACAGTCCCTTTAAGAAACATTTATCTAATTAAATTCTTTGGATGAAAGTAGATTAAATGTTGAATTAATCTTTTTCAAGCCTTGTACTCCATACACATGAATACCATGAAGTTTTATGCAGAAACACTCGCCAAACTTGGCTTTACTATTTCAAACTTCAAAAATGAATAATATATTATCTTCATAAAAAATATTTCTTTTGCACATTTGAGCAATGTTGAAACATTTTCCCCTTTGTACAGGGTTTAAAGAAAGTAATGCAAAATAATGTTTTAGATATGTCAACAAATTGTTTGTTAAAAATTTATTAAATTACATATTGACACATATCTATTATTATAGACATCATTTATTTAGTTTGGCATTGATTAGACCAGGTTCTCCATGGTCTCCAAAGTATAACTCAAAGAAAGTGTCCAAAGTCTGAAATGCCTTTATGCAGGATGGATCTCAATGTCTTACAGCTGATACAAGCCTCCAGTGGCTCCTAAAGCTGCTGAAGAAATCCTTGAGAAACATCAGCCCGGAGGCCCTGGAGAACCTAGTTTTATTAGTACCAAACCGAGTAAAATATGTCTATAATAGTCGGGGAAATTATGTAATAAAATATATTTATAATAAACAATTTTTGGCGCATCTAGAACATTATTTTGAGCGAAGCTTTACTTTCTTTACACTCTATAGTTTCACTTTATACCTCATGGAATATGGATAAATAATTATCCCAGAGTACTATATCAAGGAAACCTGATACTTTATCCATATTCCTGCTAATAACAATTATCATCATTTTATGCATAACTCGTAACCAAATAAAAGAGTAACATTATCTTTCATAAACCTTGTAAATATATACATATATATACCAGTTGGGTGTCCGCTACGCCGGTCACCCTATTTGACCTGTAACCTTATGTTTCCATAAATAGTCAGTATAATGTAAAGTATAGCGTTGAATAGACCCGGTTGAACTTGAAACCCTAGGTAGAGAAGACAGTGCGTTTTCTGTAGTAAAGATTGACTCCGAAAAACCGGCATTTTGTGACAGATATATAAATATATGATGCGCATGTGTAAGCAGTGTTCAACATATACATTCTATATTCAGCTTAGTGCTTTCTTGATATAATATAACTTAGTTTGTGTATTTAATGCTTTAAGTGATATTCCATTTGAATTAAATTCAATTTAGGGAGGCCAGTTCCATTTTCATATTGACTAGCAAATATATATATATACAGTTAGCTACAGAAAGGAAAGGTCAATGGGTCTTATGACTTTGTGACATGGTATGAGAACAACAACTTTATCTGATTGCTTATTAGATATTCAAACTATTTTGTTCTTCTCTTAAAATAGTTAAAGTTATTCAGTTTTGGTTAAAAGTTATTCAGTTTTTGGTTTCTGTAATGCCTTATTGTTCACAAATATTTTCCGTAGAGTTTCAGGATTTTTATAGAAATGACGACATTTGAAGAATTTAAAGAAATCTGCGAACAAATTCACAAAAAATAAAAAATAAAAAATAAAGTTTAAAAAGAAATAATAATTCTAACTTATTGAAAAATTTCCATTAAGAAATATGTTCCAAAGCATCTAATTAGTTTTCTGTATTTTTGTTACATTTTTTGTCGTCGTAATTGAATAATTCTTAAAATCCGATTCTCTAAATTATCCCTCCAAAATGAACAATCTATGAGGCTTCTAAAGATTGAAAAAATATGCACTGTATAGACGTCTCATAAGTCTCAAATTAATCCTAAAATATTTCTCTACATAATTGCATTCTCGGCTAAACTACCATGTCTAGCCAGACACTCCCTTTAAGGAGCACATTTACGAATTGTATAAGCCTCCTCCAATTTTGTTTAAGGTTTGGTAGAATTTGTGATCTAAACTCTGCTATAGATCAAAACAGAGAACTTAATTAAGGGGAGGAAGAAATCTGGCAGAAGCTACAGTTTCCTTCAACTTTTCAACAAGGAAAGTATGTTCTTTAAGTATTAATATAACATGTTCTAGTTCATGGAAATAATGTTTTTGTTTGAAAAAAAAATAATGTTTTGTATTTAGAAAACAAGGTTCTTGTATTTAGAAAACAAGTTCTTGTATTTAGAAAACAAGTTCTTGTATTTAGAAAACAAGTTCTTGTATTTAGAAAACAAGTTCTTGTATTTAGAAAACAAGTTCTTGTATTTAGAAAACAAGTTCTTGTATTTAGAAAACAAGTTCTTGTATTTCGAAAACCCAGCTTTAAGTGATTGGCAAGGTTTAGTTTGAAAATTAAGAAAAATTGAGCTTTTTAGTCCAAATGCTTTTTGAGTTATCACAAAAAAGATAAAGGGAGGGGGGCGGTCAAATTAACCCCCCCCCCCCGGGTAAGTAGGGTTAAAAATTAAAAACAACATTTTTGTTACTTTTGGATAATATTCTTGATCATATTTTTTTATGTGCAGTGAACAGCTTTTCTTTTCTCATTTGTTTGTCTAGATTTTAAACTCTCTAACCGTTATTTTAAAATCCAATTTGAACAAAAATAATCTTACATTTTTGATGTGGAATGAGATCAGGATTTGTTGTGTATCCCCGACTAGAGTCTTCTTGATTAGATCCATAATCATAATCTGTACCTCCTCCTACTTCAAGATCAAATATAACATTTTATAAAATTAAGAATTATCAAATCAGATTGAGGTTTCAAACATATTTATGATATTTAAACCCGTATTTTAATCAACAATTTTGGGTAAAAATATGAGAAAAATATTTAAAAACGAGACACAGATTGGAGACTTTTAAATGCATTAAATGGCAACAAAAATCAAAATCATTCCTTTCTTAGGACACTCTATGATATTACGACACACAAATTAAATTTTCCTTTTTAAATAAAGGCTATAAAATACCCGACAGAGTGCTGCTTTAAAGAAAATCAAGGTTAAGTAATGTAATAACTTCACAAGAGAGATTAAAGGGAGTGTTTGCGAAAAATGAAAGGGGCTATAAGCTTACGTCGAAATATTGTCGATGGTGATCGCTACTAATCTTACTTCTAGCTGATGCGCCTGTCAGGAGAAAATTGTTAAAAGTTACTCATACCGAAGAACGTAGCGTCCACATTCCACACAAATTCAGAAAGTTGCAGCATTAATTGAATTCAAAGACATTCGACCTAACGAGCATTCTGTTACCGACAGTTACCGACTGTTACCGACTGTTACCGACTGTTACCGACTGTTACCGACTGTTACTTTCTAAATGATGTCCCTGTCTTAAGAAATTGATATAAAAACTGTGTCCGAGTTATATGACAACTCTATTCTCTAATATAAGTGACCTAACGTATTTTTAATCAATCCTAGAACTTATGCTTGAGCCTATACTCCCTTTCATTTTACCTTAAAAGCTCCTATAAAGAAAACAAATGTTTATTAGGTAAAAAACATCGTTATTTTAGAGGAAAAAATAAAAACTTGTTTTATATTGTATCATTTTAATATGATAATTGATCTATTTCCTTGTGTATAAGCAGTAGAGCCTAATAAATCTCCACTTAGTTCACTTTCATCAGTAGGTTGGCCTCCAAACCCACGGATTCTCTGTATTGCATTTAGATTATTACTTTATTAGTATCATTAATCATTGTATAAAGGGCATAGATCTAGGTTAATGGGACTATATTCGTAATTTCAAGTGACCCTTTATGCGAAGATGACAATGCCCGATTCATAAAATTTTAAAGCTGGTTGTTTTCAATTGTGCTTAAATGAGCATCTTTAATGAAGGTATTCTAAATTGTTGAACAAATAAAGGTTTAAATGGTACCATTGTGAATTTGACATTGCCATCTTTACATGGTGGGTCACCTGACATTTTGAAGGTTAAAACTTTATGGTTATGATTGATCACTGTTTAATAAGTTTATTGGCAGTTCGAATATAATAGGTTTATTTTAGATCATGTTGGTTATCAATAATTGTCCATGTTTAAAGATATTTAAGGATTTTTGACTCTTCGTAAGCTTCAATCTTCAACATGTGACGTAATTGAAATTTTTATTTTATAAAGCTTTGGAGAATGTTGACAGAATACATAAGCCTGAAAGAAGTACGATCATTTTTTCTTATAATTTTTTCCTTTGATCAACATTATGCACAATGTAAAAAATAATTTTAGAAAATACAATTTTGAAATTATGTTTTACTTCACAGAATTTGCGTAGCTCTGAATAAAACACGAATATTTACGAAAATTTAAGTAATGAATATATAATTGGTACATTTCGAAACCTACGATAAACGTGAGAATACTAAAAGTGAGGGTTATGTACTCATTTTACTCAAAATAATAACAAAGATTGTAATTAAATATGCTGAACGGGTATACTATGTCTACAAAGGTCCCTTTATTGCTTAGCGAGATTTTCTAACTATATATATTTGAAACCTGCTTTCGATGTGAGTAATATCAAGGTAAGGGGTAGGACTGTATACTTATTCTATGCTGTAATTAAGGAACTTTGTTGGAAACTAGTCTTAACAAATTAATAACGAACATTTAAATGTCGAAATGTTTTTTAACAGCTGTTCATATCACAGTATAATGTGCACAGACCATATCCTCTCTAACTTGACGTCTATTCACTTTTAATTAGTCTATTTATAAAATGATAATCTATAAAGTTTGCCTTCTCTCATACTTTTTTCTGCTTACAAAGCAACAAAATTGTTAAAAATTCTAAAAAATTTTAAATTGCTTTTTGTTTTGTTTTTAGTCAAAGATTTATAATTTTTTGTTGAACATACATTCTTAATATTTTATATTTTAAATATTATAGAAATAAATCTTTTAATTAAAAAAATAAAGTTTAGAAATAAAACAAATGTTTTTTTCCCAAGATTTGAAAAGTATTCAAGTTTAAAATGTGTACAAATGAAAGAAAAAAGTATCTAAAATAACAAGATTTTGAAAATATTTTTGGCTCTTTTTTCAGTACATCCATCAAAAAGAATTGCAAATTTGCTAATACGACATCTTGTGAGGAACATTATCAGATTTTATTGGGAGCAATAAGTGTTTTAACTAGGCATGTTTTACAAACTGTACATATTTGAACACACCTTGATGAAATTATACAAATTTATTTACAATTTATTTTAAGGACAACAAAGCAGTTAGTTAGAAAAAAGTCTTTTAGGAGAAGTCAAACAACTTAAAAACACTTTAATAAGGAAATTAAATTAACATAACATTATTGCTTGTAAAAGGATAGATTTTCTAATTGTTATATCTTTGCAACCTGATGTTGTGGACATTTAATATTTAAAATTATGAATTCTGCTGGATCAGATAGTCAGAGTTTGAAATATCAAAGGTTTGCCCCATGTTGCAAATTTACAAGGTTTTGAAAATCAGAATGGTCGGATGCTTTGCTGAAAAAAAAAATTAAAAAATCAGAACTTACGAACACAACAAACACTTTTGTTTCTGATAAACTTAATGATTAATTGTTACAAATATTTGTGCTGGAATGATTGATTGATATTTCATCTATAATTAAGAAATTGTTCTGTTAAACAAAAAGCTTACCTTTCTTCCACACAGGAGGACAGCAACTAGTAGAGAGAGACACACAACACAACCTCCTATAACACATATATTATAATACATTGCTAAGAAAAAGCTATTGCATTCTAAATGAAAATTACAGTTAGCTATATACATTGAACACTCTGTGTGGATTAAATATAGCTACTGTTCACATTTTCCTTAAAGGAAGCAACATTCTTTAAAAAGGTAGCAGTTATTATTTTCACGTTGAATGTTGGAGCAATAGCGTTTTTTTATATTGATAATATTGAAAGTTTTATTTATCGTTTTAATACAACTTCAAGATTTCAGAAAGGGTTGCTTATATAAATTTTTGTTTTATCCAAAAAAAATCTAAAAACACCCAAGAAATAGTTTTGGGTCGTTTACCTATATTCTCTGCCAGGATCAAAATTTGACATAAAATACGAAAAGCAGATGTTTAGCAAACAGTTTTGAAAAATTTGCTATTTTTACGCGATACCAACTTTGGAAAAGTTAGACAAAAAACAATCCAGAACCGAACCAATGGAATGCACAAAATGCACATCACTAGATGGAAAATGGTTTGTTTTAAAATATTGTTTAGGCTTTTGGACTTCTATGAGGTTCCACAAAAATCTTAGAAGTGATACAAATTTCAAAATTGTGTATTCCGAACATTTGCTTTGGGTCGACTTACCTGCTGCAACAGAGATGATTATTGTAAGTGGTGAGTCCTGACCAGGTTCAGTATTAGATGCAGCATCCTTCCACAGTTTAGGATTCGTCACTTAATATATATATATATATAAATATATTTACAGGGTGTACCAAGAAACATTACAGCGGAGAGAAAACTTAAACGTCGTCTTTTAACTTTGAGTTCTAAAATTTGTTGAAAGAAAAGGATCAAATTTGTATTCCAAAGTCATATTTAATTTACATATGAACTTTATATAGGTCTGAACAGTTTTACATAGTAGTTGAACTCGGTATGGATTGTTAAACTAAGTATATGAACTAGTTCTGGCTAGTTTACCTAGGTAGTTGAACTAGGTATGACTAGTTTAATTATGTTCTAGGGATGGCTATTTTAACCAAGTAGTTTAACTACGTACTTCAACTAGGTATGGCTAGTTTAACCAAGTAGTTTAACTACGTACTTCAACTAGGTATGGCTAGTTTATTCAAGTATGTTTAACTACGTACTTCAACTAGGTATGGCTAGTTTAACCAAGTATGTTTAACTAGGTACTTCAACTAGGTATGGCTAGTTTAACCAAGTATGTTTAACTAGGTACTTCAACTAGGTATGGCTAGTTTAACCAAGTATGTTTAACTAGGTACTTCAACTAGGTATGGCTAGTTTAAAAAAGTAGTTTAACTAAGAACTTCAACTAGGTATGGCTAGTTTAACCAAGTATGTTTAACTTGGTACTTCAACTAGGTATGGCTAGTTTAACCAAGTATGTTTAACTTGGTACTTCAACTAGGTATTTATTTTTAAATTAAGATTTTTAAAATAAAATTTAGAAAGAGCAGTGAATTTTTTCTCCGACCGTTTGAAAACTCAAATTAACACTGTAAATTTTTAAAAAGAAAAGTTTAAAAATTTAAATGTCAAGACAATATTTGATTAATATTTGAAAGTCATCTATTCAAATTTCAAGGTTTTCTTTTTGATAATTAAATTTTCATGTTCCACACATTACGCATAAAATAATGAAAAATCAAGTAAAAACTATACTTGATCTGAAGGAATTGAGTTTTTGCCACAAACTCATATATATTTGCAACCTGACGGTGTAAACCTGTAATTTATCAAACTTAGATTATTTGATCTAATATGCAAAATTCATAAAATCATGAAATCTAAGTTTTTAACTCTGTTCCTTCCTAAATACAAAATGGTAAATCTATATCATTTTGAGGCTTTGCCACAAACTCTGATTTTCAAATCTCTTTATTTGTGGAACCCATTCACGGGCAGCCATAGTACATTTGAATTTCCGAGCCAGGTCAACCTTTCCGATCCCAGTTTGTACTTTACCTAGCTCTATGGACAGGACTAGCCGGTGCAACAAGGTTGACGCGGTCAGACTTTTTGCTTCATATAGGTTCAATTTACTTTTACTAAAGAGACAGAGGTGCGTGCATTGTCGGAGACCTTAGATCAAATAATAAAAAATTGAAATATTAAGAGTTTGCACCATACAGGTTGAGAAGATAGATATTAGAAAATTTAAGATTTAGTTGAAGACTTTAATTATGGTTTTTAAACTTTACGTGGATCAGACTTAAAATTTATGTTTTATAATAAATAACTATGAATGTCATAATTCACGCACCCCTGACCTTTCAGTAAAAGTAAATTCAACCTAAAGTCTGACCGCGTGAACTTTGTTGCACCGGCTAGTCCTATTCAGTGTCTGCTTTATTCGTCCGGGCGATACAGTACAAACTGTGACCGGAAAGGTTGACCCGGCGCGGAAATTCAAATGTACTACGGCTGCCCGTGAATTAAAGTTTAAGGCCAGATAGACATACTTTCACGTAACCCTTCATTTATAGAGTGGCAGATCCGATTCACGATGGTATTATTAAAAGCTTGGTCTGACCGAGATCAAATTATATATCCAATATACAAATGTTTAAAATTTTGCGTTAGCATTAGCATGACATTACGATCACTAGAAAAAAATGTTCTTTTACTTGTTTTGTTATCTTCTTACTCTGTTATAATTAATTTACTTATTTTGTTATCTTCTTACTCTGTTATACTTAATTAACTTATTTTGTTATCTTCTTACTCTGTTATAGTTAATTTACTTATTTTTTTATCTTCTTACTCTGTTATAGTTAATTTACTTATTTTATTATCTTCTTACTCTGTTATACTTAATTAACTTATTTTGTTATCTTCTTACTCTATTATAGTAAATTAACTTATTTTGTTATCTTCTTACTCTGTTATAGTTAATTTACTTATTTTTTTATCTTCTTACTCTGTTATAGTTAATTTACTTATTTTATTATCTTCTTACTCTGTTATACTTAATTAACTTATTTTGTTATCTTCTTACTCTATTATATAGCTAATTTACTTATTTTGTTATCTTCTTACTCTGTTATAGTTAATTCACTTATTTTGTTATCTTCTTACTAGATACCTATTAGGTAAACATTGAATGTAATACAAAACAAAAGTTTGTTTGGTTAAACAAAGAAATAATATTCGAGATTAGTAGATAAGTGATGTAGAAAAGAGAAATGAGATGTAGAGAAGTAATGTAAAAAAGTGATGTAAAGAAGTAATATAGATAAGTGATGTAGAGAAGTGATACAGAGAAGTGATGTAGAGAAGTAATGTAAAGAAATGATGTAGAGAAGTAATATAAACAAGTCAGTTATATAAGTGATGTAGAAAAGTGATGTAAAGAAGTAATAGAAGAGAAGTAATGTAGAGAATTGATACAGAGAAGTGATATAGAGAAGTGTTGTAAAGAATTGATATAGAGAAGTGTTGTAAATAAGTTATGTAGAAAAGTGATAAAGAGAAGTTATGTAAAGAAGTGATGTAGAGAAGTAATGTAAAAAATTGAGCTATATAAGTGATGTAGAGAAATGCATGATGTAGAGAAGTGATGTAGAGAAGTGATGTAAAGAAGAAATATAGAGAAGTTATGTAGAGAAGTGATGTAGAGAAGTGATGTAGAGAAGTGATGTAGAAAGTGATATAGAGAAGTGACGTAGAGAAGTGATATAGAGAAGTGATGTAGGTAAGTGATGTAAAGCATTGATAGAGAGAAGTGTTGTAGATAAGTGATGTAGAGTTAATTGATGTCAAGAAATGATGTTGAGAGGTAATGTAAAGAAGTGAGTTATATAAGTGATGTAGAGAATTGATGTAGAGAAGTGATGTAAAGAAGTGATGTAGAGAAGTGATATAGAGAAGTGATGTAAAGAAATTATGTCGATAAGTGATGTAAAGAAGTGATATAGAGAACTGATGTAAAGAAGTGATATATAGAAGCGATGTAAATAAGTGATATATATAAGTAATGTAAAGAAGTGATATAGAGCAGTGATGTAAAGAAGTGATATATAGAAGTGATGTAGAGAAGTGATATAGAACAGTGATGTAAAGAAGTGATATAGAGAAGTGAACGGTCTGGCTATGAATAAATCTGCAATAAATTAGAATACTGAAGAGAAAGAGTGTTGAATTATGTAAATCAGTTCTTCTCTAGATGTAAAACTAAATAGTGAAGGTAAATTTTTTTTTTCTTTTTTGAGAGAAAAAAATCTGTTTTTTTAAAGGGGTGGGGGGTAATATGAAAAGCTCATATAACAAAGTTTGACGAAAGTATACGTCTCTTTGCGGATGAAAGTTTTTTTCTGGCTGGTGGACCTTGTTAGAGTTTTTATTATTTTAGACGGTAATAAAGAGAAAATCTGAATAAGTTATGAAACCGTGTAAATCGAATAAAAAGATATAATTTAAGATTTGAGGCCGGAAATATTTCCTCAGAAACTCGAACAGTCAGAAGATTAAATTAAAATTAAGAATATGCAAATCTACAACTTGTCTTGACTCAACTTCTTGGGTAAGAGGCAATTCTTGAAATGAATAGAAAATATTTTAGAATATTTATACATCCGAAGAGCTTTGTAATATTAAAAGTAGGGGTTGGGATGTATACGCAAAATCAGACACCTCATTTGGGTTCAATAAGAAGTCATAGAATGTAGTCTTTTCTATAATTTAAAAAGATTTTAGGACTTTTTAAGCATTTCCATCACCAAAAACTTGCGTTTTTTACGTAATTTGTAGTTAGAAATGCATAACTTTATTATCTTCTTAGATACACTTTATCTAAAACAGATTGCAATGTAAATGGTTAAAAAAAAATTGGCTACTTAAAACCAAGGTTTTTCGAGCCTTGCTCACGTTACTGGCCTAAAATTCTGCTTTAGACTATTACAAAATTATAATTAATAACATCTAACAAATTTTCTTTTAAACAATGTGGTATTTTTCATACATATAAGATCCGTACAAAAAATCACAAATTTAGCTTTATTTTAACAGGAGAGCATCCTATCCTATAACTGAAGTTTTTACCGTGTCGTTATTTTCCCACCATTTTTAGCACCTAATGATTAATTTATTTGATAACTAGAGTTTTAATGTTGATTGTTTGAATTTAAAACCAGTACTACTGCAGCCAATGACGTCATATAAAAGTGTACAGAGCGTACACACTATTCGGATACATTCCTAATGCCCTATCTTCTACTATTCTACCGTCTTTGTATATATATATATATATATATATATATGTAAAACTGAGAAGCTGCTCTGATTATCGCTTTATAGTTGTAAATATCTTTATCTATGTATAAATTTGGCTTGCCTGTTTTGGTGTCTGTTTGTTTGTTTGTATCCAATAAACGTCAAAACGGCTGAACCGATCGGGCCCAAATTTTTTGTGGGACATCTAGGGACCCCAGGGAAGGTTTATGAATGATCAAAATTTCAAATATAACATGTTCACAATCAATTTAGAAGATGGGCGCGAAGCGCCCTCTAAGGCTAGTATATATCAATATGTATATATATTTTCTTAAAATAAGTTTAGATTATTTTTTATTGTTTATTGATAAACATTTTTGCTGGAAACACTGACACCCGTCAGCAGAATTTCGACTTCTAGAGAACATCATAAGACACGAGAAACATGTTTGAATAAAATATTAAAAGCGTAATCTGACCGGCCATGCAACCATTGCGATGCTCTATCTTGAAACCTTTATTTAATGAATATTGTGAAAGATATTGTCGATTTTCTAGGTTAAAAAGTATTTAGTTTTGATGATTCCTATGTGTGTTCTGTAGAAGTATAGAGCACAAGTCACTTTTGTAAAGAACCCACAAGTTAAATTAATTCGTTTCCTAAATGACAAATATTGATATCTAACTCATGCTTGATCAGAAAAAGCATTTAATAAATTCTGTAGTTACAAAATTTCATCCAGATTACAGAAACCCAATTCCTGGTGAAACTGGTTTAGTTTCTCCACTTTTCGGGAAAAAAATTGAAAGGAATCAAGTCTTTGCCACAAACTCTGATAGCCTAATCCCTATATCTTCGCAACCCAATGTTGTAGACCTTTAATATTTCAAACTGTGACTTCTGTTAGATCAACCAGTCTAAGTTTGAAATATCAAAGATTTACACCATAAGGATAAAGATTGAAAAATTTAAGTTTGTGGCCAAGACTCAATTCCTCTAAATTCCTCAACCCTGGGCGAGAACCGGAAGCACCGGCCCTGAAAATTAAAGTTTCTCACCAACTACGTGGGAACCAGACCCTGGCATAGCTTCCTCCAAAACCACAGCCTCACTCATACCCTTCAAATATATATTTAAAGGGATTGATCACGGAATAGAAAAATATTTAAAGGGATTGATCACGGAATAGAAAAATATTTTTAGGGATTGATCACGGAATAGAAAAATATTTAAAGGGATTGATCACGGAATAGAAAAATATTTAAAGGGATTGATCACGAAATAGAAAAATATTTAAAGGGATTGATCACGAAATAGAAAAATATTTAAAGGAATTGATCACGGAATAGAAAACTATTAAAAGGGATTTTTCAAGAAATAGGAAAAATTTAAAGGGATTTTATTACACACCACTAGAAAGAATTAGAAGGTCAATTTTGATAGACATTACTGGTCAGATTTTGTGACTTTGCAGCTTATCTAGCTTCGATTTTACGAACCAGTATGAGACAACAGATATTGACACATCTAAAAGTTTTTTTTCTAAACAAGAGGAGATTTATATCATTTAATTTAATTTAATGGCAAATTTTCTTTTTATTTGAAAGATCAATCGGATGTTGTTTTCTTTCTTTCCGAAGTTTTTAAAGAGAATTTAATATAAATCTTCTGATTTCTCAAAAATGGTGTGCAAACTTGTTTTCAGCTTTACTCTGCTTGTATACAGGTTTTAGCAGACAATAAAACAAGAAAAAGTAAATTTAGAAAAATTGTGTTGAAGTCTGCAGTCTGCTATCTTGAATTGAATTTTGCAAATATTTAGTGTCCCAGTGGGCCTACAGTAGCTCAAACATTTGTCATCAAACAAAGGAATTGAGTTTTTGCCACAAACTCAAATTTTGTAATCCCTATATCTTTACAACCTGATAGTGTAAGTCTTTGATATTTCATACTTAGATTACTTAACAGCATTCATAGTTTGAAATATCAAAGGTCTCAACCATTTGGGTTGCTAAGACACAGGGATTATAATGTTTGAGTTTGCGGCAAAAAACTCAACTCCTTTGATTAAAGCATAAACTTGTTAAGATTGTACAAGGTACTATTGCAAGGAAAGTTATTTCAGAGGTGTACGCATTTTTTGTACTGCAGTGTACTGTCTCTGGGGGGTAGTGTAAACAAAAGACGGATGTCGAAGCCTGACATGGAATCCATTTTCACAAAATAATCCATGAAATAATCTGGTCATAGGAAACTATTATGTGAATTTTCAAAATTATCAAAATTAGTGTTTTTATCCTCCTCGGATACAGACGAACACTGTTGCATGTATTCTTGTTTACAAATTCCGCCCAGAGAGAACTGGTTTCAATATGTACACAGATAGGGTTGTTAATCGTTTTTGTAAACGATCGTTAAACGATCGTTTTTTGTTTCGTTTTCAAAAACAATCGTTTCGTTTTCGGAAAAAAAACAATCGTTTTTAAAAACGACCCACTCGTTTTGAACTTTTAGAAAACGAATACAGAGTATACGCAACTGCAAATAACTTTCCTTGCATTACACCCTTTTGATTGTATAACTTGTTCTTGTAAACCAAGAACCCAGTCTACCCAGTACCCAGTGTACCCAGTACCCAGTGTACCCAGTGTTCTTGTAAACCAAGTACCCAGTGTACCCAGTACCCAGTGTACCCAGTGTTCTTGTAAACCAAGTACCCAGTGTACCCAGTACCCAGTGTACCCAGTGTTCTTGTAAACCAAGTACCCAGTGTACCCAGTACCCAGTGTACCCAGTGTTCTTGTAAACCAAGTACCCAGTGTAGCCTTTAAATAATAAGATTGTTTAACCTAAGTAATGAATTTCAATAGCAATTAAAAACAATAATCGTGCAATGTATATTTTATGCTCATTCCACCAAAAAAGTTAATTTTCAAGCTATTCATAAACTATTAGGTATTTAACAACATACAATTTTGCTTATTTCATCTTCCTATTCACAAGTTTTTGACTCTCACTATAGTTTTCGGTGCAATGATGTGCAATACTCTGACCCAAGGTAATGAGACAAGGAAAGCAAATTGTTGTTGCGTATTCTCTGCGTACATATTGAAACCAGTTCTTTCTGGGTGGTATTTGTAAGCAAGAATAGTTACACCTGTGTTCTTCTAGTATCCGAGGAAGATAAAAGCATTTAATTTTGATAAGTTTGATAATTAACATAATAATTTCCTATAACCAGAATATTTCAAAGATTTTTAGATGAAGATGGATCCCATGTCATGTAACATCCGTCTTGTGTTTACATTACTGCCAAGTGACAGTGCACTGCAGTACTAAAAATGCGTATGTATAGTGTTTAGTAGAGAGTAGTAAATATAAAAATAATACCTTCACATTTTCTGCATAAAGATAGATCTTGAGGTCAGATCCTAGATCTAGATGTGAAACCTCAAAAACAGGAACTTTGTTTGTAGCTTGAAATCTAAAAAAAAATTTATTCATTAAAAAAGTCTGAGGATAAAAAACCTTCATTTTTATTAAATATTTTTCCTTTTCAAAAATAAAAAATTATTGATTTTGCGTTTAAAAAAAGACACTTTGATCTTTAGTTGCCTTAGATATGCATAGTTTTGAACTGCTTTTTTTGGCAAAATTCTCATCGATTTTGTTTGCAAACTTTTAATGACTGTGAAAGATGTAAGGATGAAAAACAGTACAACGAAATTATTAAGTTTGAATAAAAAAATTCTTCACCTCAATTCCATATTCTCAGTTTCGAAGACTTGAAGAAGAAAGTTAGCCGGTAGTCCTCCGTCAAATCCTAGAAATAAACAAACTGAGGATTTAGATTTTTAAATTTTTCTTTTAACTTATTTAGCAGGCTAACATAAAACAGTATCGAGTATTGAAATGAAATTAAGATTGAAATCAAAAGTGGTCGGTGTGTTAACGGTGTGTTAAAATATCAATATATACTAGATGATGTGCCCGGCGTCGCCCGTGGAATTTTAGAAACATTTGTAATTCTAATTTTGAAAAAAGCTTATGTTAGCCACGAAGTAAACAAGGGTTCCCTCTAAAAATTGTCATCCTATTTGGTTCATCCGCTTGGCTAACTATAGCTACCATATATATATATATATATATAAATATATACACACATATCTACATCCTAATGGTCTAGCTGTGGTCAACCTCACTGGAGTTGAGGTTGAAAGATTAAGAAAACAAGTGTTTAAACTATTCAAGTCCCTAGGCCTGAAGGTTACTATTGAAGCAAACATTACTGAAACTGATTTCTTAGATCTATATCTCAATTTGAAGGACTGCACATATAGACCTTATAGGAAAGGCAATAATCCAATCCTGTATATCAATGCTAAGTATTTTTTAAAAGGGAAAATTATTGCAACGAAATGTTTGTAATAATTTTTTAGAAAATACGCAATATGTGATGAAAAAATCTTGGAATTGTAGTTGTTCAAAGAATTGTAGCTACTGAGGATCGTCATGATAGACGTGAAACATTATGTTTAGTATAATTCTTTTTTTAATAAAAATGTGAAGTTAAAAATTGAAATACATCCTAATATTAATATGAGCGAAAAAGCTTTATTCTATAGAAGATATGCTCACCACCCTGCACTGTATATGTATGTCGTTACCTGCATCCAAACAGATTATCAAGTACAATAGGTAGCAACAGAGAAATGGACCAATCAATATATACAAATATGTCAAATATAACAAGGAAAACGAAATTTTCTCAAATTTGTTTTGACATGTTTACCAAGATTATATAAAAAGTGTAAAAACAGGAAATAAAGAACGCATAAAATTTCACTTGTTTTACTGTAAGATACGCACTTTCTTCTATAATTATTACTATTATTAATAATGTTGTCGGACACAAAAACTAAGTTGACACTTGTGACGTCAGAAATCAGCTGTACGTTTCCATCTGTTATACTAGAAGTTATTTGGTTATCACTAATAAAATAAAATATTTACCTTCTTGACATTCGATCTTCATCGAAGAGAGAGTTTTGTTTGTAACTTGACACTCAGTCAATGCCGATGGTCTTCCTACACAATTATTCTTTAACCCTATAAAAGCTGGGGGTCTGAATCCAATTGTTCATGGCCAGCTCCAAGAAAAAAATAAGACCGATAACTTAATAGTTTGGGTGCTAGGGAGGGTGGAAAAAAATGCATAAAAAAGGTTCAAAAACAAGAAAATATAATGACACATGTTTCTATGTTTTTCAAGGGCTTTTCAAAAATATAGTTTTTTGATCTGTAGCTTTAGACACAAAAAGTTATGGACTATTTCAGAATTTTTTTCACAGACCCTATAAATTAAAAAAAAATCCTTAAATTTACTTTACATTAAAAGTCACAAAATTTCACGGCGACAGTGTCAAAAATGAGAGTGCTAGGACAAAAAAACGCCCCCCCCCCCAGCCTGTAAAGGGTTAATTCACTTCTTCTTTGTTTGTCTAATAACATGAATTAAAGATAATATATCCAGGGTTACGCACACAGAATGAGACTGTCAGACGACTGTACGGAATTTATTAAGTTCCTTTTTATTGATTTATGCTTTCCTTACATTTAAAAACAAAACTCATTAAGTAAACCATTTAAAGACTTAATTAAAGACATTTATATATTAAAAATAGCATTTACCCACAACGAATGAGACTTTGCAGAGACTTGAGAAACCAAAAACAAAGCTTCAAATCGTCATATTTTTTTAGTTTAGTCTTCTTTACAGTCTCATCATTTGTGGGTAACTCTATATAGTATGTGAAATATGTAAAGCCAGGAATAAGTTAAACTCTTGCCAGCGAACTAGTTCAAATATATTAAAATAGGTCCCTGATGAAGTTTGACTTTGGGCTTTATAAATACAGCGTATGCATGATTGATGTAAACCTTTGATATTTCAATTTTAAAAACCATTAGAATTATAAATTTTAATTTAGAATCTATGTACATAGTTCAATTAAAAATGATACAGGTATAATGTCGTATTTATTACGTCAAAAGTAAGAAAACTTGGAATGTCGTCCTTGTTCGAGTTCTGGGAGTTCTTGAATCACTACTTTTGAGACCAAGATTGATTTTAAAAATAGGTTAGATGTTAATTTTAAAATTATTTTCAAATTTCAGAATAAGAAATAATAAGAAGACGAGAATTACATTGTCTTCTGTTTCTCATCGTATTAAAATATATTTCATATGCCATTACTCATTATAAAATATTATTATTAACCTGTTGGAAGTATCTGGAAACTACAGGGTTTAGACATCTGACCAACTGCATTCTCACTCATACAAAATAGGGATCCATAGTCCTTAATTCAATTAAAAATGGTAAAAAATGATTACTTGATAATTTTCTAATTCCTATAAAATATCATGATCGTTTAAGCTATTTAAACTTGAAATCATATTAAAAATATTTGAATTGAAAAGTTTATCTGCACAGGTTGCAATGATATAGCAACGAGAAAATGAAATAGTGTAATTTATTTCTATAAATCAAGAAGTTCTATGTTTTTGAAAAAATGGAGTAGTGCAGCTGTAATGGAACACAGCATGAATATAGTACATCTGTACTGGAACTCAATATGTTGTAGTACAGCTGTAATAGAACTCAATATGTAGTATTACAGCATGTAATGGAACTCAAAATGTAGTAGTGCAGCTGTAATGGTTAAACATGTAGTTGTATAGCTGTGATGGAACTCAATATGGAGTAGTACAGCTGTAATGGAACTCAACATGTAGTAGTACAGCTGTAATGGAACTCAAAATGTAGTAGTGCAGCTGTAATGGTATTCAACATGTAGTAGTATAGCTGTGATGGAACTCAATATGGAGTAGTACAGCTGTAATGGAACTCAAAATGTAGTAGTGCAGCTGTAATGGTATTCAATATGTAGTAGTATAGCTGTGATGGAACTCAATATGGAGTAGTACAACTGTAATGAAACTCAATATGTAAAATTACAGCTGTTATTTAACTCAACATTTACCAGTACAGCTGTAATTGAACTTAACATGTAGTACCACAGCTGAAATGGAACTCAATATGTAAAATTACAGCTGATATGGAACCGTTTTTAATTAAGTAGTAATACAGCTGTATTGGAACTCAACATGTAGTAGTTCAGTTGTATCAAAAATCTACAGCGGGAATGAAACTCTTACCTTAGATGATTTAGGAACGAACTGCAATGAAGAAGCTAACCCAGCTTGATGAAAACTATCTGTTCCAATCCATTCTTCAATCTCAGAGTTATTAAAGAACCAACGAAAATTCACCGTGGGCGGAAAAGCATCAACCTTGAAAAAGGTACAGTGAGAAACATAAGATTATGGAAAAAAGAAAAGTGAGAACCATAAGATTATGGAAAAAGGTAAAGTGAGAACCATACGATTATGGAAAAAGTTAAAGTGAGAACCGTAAGATTATGGAAAAAAAACTAGTGATAAACTAAAGTTAAAATTTTAATTAGTCCAGTGAACATGAAACACAGCAATTGTGCAGTGTACACAGGCTCATTTAGGGGTAACAAGTCCGAACTGTGCAAAAAAAAATCTAATACAGCCCATAACCTTTTCGTGACTAAGCTACAGATCTAAAACCGATATTTTTAAAAGTCCTTGAAAAATCGATGAGGAAACGTGTCAAATTTTGATTTTTGCTTATAACAAAAAATATTTTTTACATCTTTTTGACATTTTTTTTAGCATTGTTTTAGACCCATTCCTTAGCACTCAAACTATAAAAGTTATCGGTATAATTTTTGTTTAGTGAGCATAACCTTAAAAAATTGTTCCATGAACATGCATGTTAACCCTATACCTATTCCCTAAAGCCTTTTCAAGACTATACATAGATTCAAACCCCCAGCTTTAAAAGGGTTAAACAATAACGAAATCTAAACACATTATGAACGATGAATGATCAATGAATGGGCATTCAATACAAACTAAAAGAAAATGAAATAACAGTGAATGAACATGGAACAAAAAGTTAAAAAAAACCTTCTTAATTTTTTCTTCTTGAATATGTACCTAACAGTTGATAGCTGTTAATTAAGGTAAATCTATTTCTACAGATAACATCAATAGTACCTCATCATTACCAATATATCTGTACCTGACAGTTGATAACTGTTGGAGTATCTTTTTCTACAGATAACATCAATGGTACATCATCATTACTAATATATCTGTACCTGACAGTTGAGAACTGTTGGAGTATCTTTTTCTACAGATAACATCAATGGTACATCATCATTACTAATATATCTGTACCTGACAGCTGATAACTGTTGGAGTATCTCTTTCTACAGATAAAATCAATAGTACATCATCATTACAAATATATCTGTACCTGACAGCTGATAACTGTTGGAGTATCTATTTCTGCAGATAACATCAATGGTACATCATCATTACTAATGCAGACTGGAGCATCTGTAATTAGAGAGAAAACTTTACCTAACACTCACAACCTTAATACAAACTTTAAATTGGTACAAAGGGATAGTTCGAGATTTACTAAAATATAATAAAAAGTTTTAAAATCTAAACTTTATCAAATCAAAATAAAATTTAAATAAAAAAGAAGTTGTCACGCATATTTTACTGATTTGCTATACACCTTTTTAAACTTCGTAAACATTCCTTTATGAAAATGTTGCTCTTAATATTCTTATTTTGGTTAGTAAAACTTACACATGATATTTAAGGAGAGGGTTCTGCTTACTCCAAATCCTTCAGAATTTATTGCCTAGTGGGCAGAGATAATATTTAACTAACAGCATTTATCAAAATCAACAATTTTTCAAAAAAGTTTAGCAAATTAGTAATAAAAAACTAAAAGAGGCTCATAAAAATATCAAAAATTCAATGATTTTCCTTATGAAACAAATATCCCTATATAAAACCTATTCTGTAATTTGTAAAAATTTTAAAAAAGAGTCCAGAAAATTAATATTAAACTCTTCATTTAAAGGTTTAAAGATAAATTTGTTAGTTCTCAAAGAAGAATACAATGAGACCCAGACAACTGTAGAATATATAGACGCTCTAAAAACTTAATTTAATGATTTAATTAGTCCAATATAGGTAAAAGAAAACAATGCAGACCCATTTCTCATTAAAAGTTGATTTTTAAGGTTGCTAAAATGTCGTCTTCTTACTCCACAGTTTTTGTTTATCCCTGTAAATAAATGCTTGAAATATATCACTCTCCTGACATGAGTACTCTCCACTTGAATTTCTGTTTACTCCCTGGAGTACTAAGCTTTGTGTGCTCCTAATTATACCTTGTTCAGGATTAGCAGATAGTTCGACTCCCTTAAAAGAGAAAAATTAATTAATTTTCTTTTTAAATGAGCCCAGTTCTTTAAATTCTATCCTTTTTTGGAATCGTTATTTTCTGCATTTTTTCATTTCAGGATTTTTGGCTTTACAAGTCATCACAAAGAATTTAAGAGTTTTATTTCCTTATTTTCTAGAGTGAATCCCAGATATATGAATAAATAACAAGAGTTTTTTATAATGTCGTATTCTCAACCTATTTAAGATTAAATGCGCGGGAAAACGAGTTTAATGTGTCAACTGCTGTCCTTCATATTTTACTTTAAGGGCTATTAATTTACATTGAATAAAAATAAAAAACACTTTCTTAAGAATTATCAAAACACTTATGACTCTACAATGAAATTTGGAAATATTTTCATAAATCGTATTTAATTCTTAATTGAAGCTACAAGCATTGATCAGCAGCTTTCTTTTTGTGAAAACCAATGATGCAGCGGTACAACTGTCACACATTTTAAAATAAATTTCAAGACCAAATGTCATGCGCTCTTGCTATGTAATTACAATATCAAGTTAATTTTTTTTTTGAGAAAATGGAGGAAAAAAAAATTGAATAAATTAGAAAACTGATTCATCCAATATGCAATGCAAACCTGGATGCTGCAAAGTTGCATAATGCAAAGATATTTACATAATTTTTATAATTTTGTAAATTGAAGTCTTTTTACATTGTATTTAGATTTATAAAAGGCCCTCCTACATTTAAAATTTGAGATATTGCTCATAAATCTTTTATATACATAATAATCAATTTTTTTCGAACAAAATATGTCTTTTTATTTATGTTTTTAACGAAGATTCATTTAAAAATCCAATATTTTATAACGAAATATTTGTCTAGTCAGAACTTAAGAATTATGTTAAAAAATAATTATAGCTTCGTGGGAGAGGAGGGGGGGGGGGGTGAACTGAAACATTGACATTTTGACATGAAAATATATAAAGGTTTTGCCAAAAACTGTGTTATACAAGATTATTGAAACAAACACTTGTACTGCAGCTTATGACATATCTATCTATTGAACATTTAAATTATAAAGATTATTTTATCAAATAAAATACATAATCGAAATTTTGCATGCAAAGACTTCGCAATCCGACTTTTGCCAAATTGAAAAGTTTTGCAATTCTTAATCTAAGTATTATTTGAAAAGAAAGATTCCCATTGACTGTCTTTAGACGAAAATTGATGTTTAAAGTTTTTATCCGAAGTTTTAAGAAATGTAACAATAGAGTGAGACAAAGAAACCTTCCATTATCAATATATATTCTGCTAAACGGGAAGACTGGATAAAGTAAACCGAAAAAATGTCATAAATCATGCGTCGGCTTGAGACAAGGTTATAATGCAGGGAAAGTTATTTCAGAGGTGAGCGCATCTTTTGTTCTGTAGTGTACTGTCTCTGAGCGGTAATATAAACACATAACGAATGTCGAAGCCTGACATGGGATCCATCTTACACAAAAAAATCAATGAACTATTCTAGTCACTGGAAACTATTATGTGAATCAGCAAAATTATCAAAATTAAATGCTGTTATCCTCCTCGGATACTAAACGAACACTGTTTTATCTTATTTTTTACAAATTCCGCCGAGAGAGAACTGGTTTCAATATGTACGCATAGTGCAAATACCTTTCCCTGCATTATAACCTGGGAGTGAGAGAATATTTTCACGATACCATTTTTCGGCTCTCTAACATTTTTCGGATTATCAAAAAAGAGCCGTAATTTGATTTTGGCATAAATAATGAATTTAAGCCTGGTTTGTGTGGATCCTTAAAAAAAACCTTCATTTCGATGAAAACTATTTATTTCAAAAAATTTAATAAACGTATTTATTTTCCGAAATTAAACCTTTCCAATCCCGACTTTTTGTTTTGAATATTTGGGTCTAAATCAACTTGAAAACATACCCCCCTCTCTCCCGATTGTAAATACATAATTGTCCTGAGGCAGAATTTTAAGAATTTGAGTCTCGGCTCAAATATGGTTGGTTTCACTTAAAACCGTATTTAATGTTTCAATTGAAAGCGTTTTAGGCGGATTTGAGACGCGGCTCAAATTCGTTAAAAGGCCGAATGTTTGTTTACTTACAGAGAACTTTGATCTCCCATGAATCTTCCAGAACCTTCTCTAATCTTCCAGAAACTATAATCTTACAGGTCAGATATCTTCCATCATCTTCTATTATAGGTTTGTACAGAAGCTTACTGGTAGCCACTCCCTGGTATTCAGAGTTCTAAACAAGTGATATTTGAAAATTAATTATTTTCCATATTAATTTATTTCCTATTTGCATATATTAGGTAAAAAATTAATTATTTTTAGCATCTATTATGTATAAATTATGCATTAGTGATACTAATAACATATAAATTTGAGTTAGTGGCAAAGACTTAGAAAGTATGATTTTTTTATTTTAAATTGATCAAATGAATCAAATAAGCATCTTATCACTGCTTAATAAACCATTTATTTAATGAAGGAAAAATATAAAAGGAAATGTCCTTATGTAAAATTCATTTACAATATATTTTCTGCAAAATTTAGGTATTTTAACATATATTATGTTACTTTCAACATATATCATGTAAAAATTAAATATTTTGAGCATAAATTATGTAAAATTTAGGTATTTTTAACAAACATTTTATAAAATCAGTTATTTTTAACAAAAACTATGTAAGTATTAATATTTCAGCATATATTATGTAAAACTTTAATATTTTTAACATATAATTGTGCACAATTTATGTTATATAGTTATTTGACTATAACGTATAAACCTTAATTTTAAAGTTTTGATTAAAATTTTACATAAGCAATCTTTTGAGGAATACAACATTTGTACTATTAAAGATAGATGTTGACATATATTTGTGTGAGACACCGTAGACGCTGACATAAAGAAAAATCTTAATAATGGTATGCAAATCTTATAGTTCCGTCTATATATACCTATAGCATTGATAGGACGATAATAGTCTGTTCTAAACCGATGATATAAATATTTAAAATCCTGTAATAAATGCCTGATATGTCGGATCTAGTTGTTTAGTTCCTATCCACCATTGTATAGAGGGAGGAGGGAATCCTCCAACAGCTCTACATGTCACTTCTCTATCCCTACCCTCCGATACATATGTCGGCTTCTCCAGGATCTCCAGGGCCGTTGGAAACACTAGAAGCAGGTTTCTTATAAATTAACAAGCATAGTGCTCGGCGTGGAATTTTAGTAACACTTGAAAAAAAAATTTTAAATTGAAAAAAAAAATTTTGAAAAAAATATTTCGAATTTGTTGAGACTTTGCCACCCCGGGATAACCTTGGCTTCCCTCAAGAAAAAGGCGTATACAAGTTGAACTTTTTTGCCCGGGCAAAAATTTTGACATTTAACCCTAAACAGGCTTGGGGGGGGGGGGGCGTTTGGCGCCACCCTGTAGTTTTTTTGTCCTAGCACTCTCATTTTTTACACTATCACCGTGAAATTTTTTGAATTTTAATAAATAGTAATTTATAGGATTTTTTGTAAAAAAAAATATTTTTTAAAATTTATAGGGTAGGGGTACAGGGCGGAAGAAAAGTCCGGTCTGTGAAAAAAAGCCCATGACTTTTTTGTGAAAAAAGCTACATATCTAAAACTATATTTTTGAAAAGCCCTTGAAAAAAGCATGTAGAAACATGTGTCACACTTTGATATTTGTTTAAAACAAAAGAAAGTTTCAATTTTTTTTACCCTTTTTTAGGCATTTTTTTCCACCCTCCCTAGCACCCAAAGTATAAAAGTTATCGGTCTAATTTTTTTCTTTGCGAGCTGGCCATGAAAAATTTGGCTATGAACATGCATTTCAATCCTATACCTATTCTCTAAGGCCTTTTTCTAAGGGGGGGGGGGTGCTCCAAACGCCCCCCAGGCTATACATAGATTCAGACCCCCCAGCTTTTATAGGGTTTACAAAATCAATTTTCTAAAAAATAGAAAATTAAAGCAACAATACTTTTGATAATGGAAAATAAAAAATAAAATATTTTAAAAGTAAAAAATGTAAAAAAATTCAATGATCTTCAATAATGAAACCATCGAATATCTTGAAAATGAAATATAGAATATTAATTTCGTCAATTAAAAAACTTAAAATATTTAATTATACATAATAAAAGAATTTCTTGAAACATTGAAATATGCATTTCATAATATTTCTTCAGATTAGATTAGTAAAGTTTTGCATCAATGCAAGCACTATATGTATACTGAATAGTATCTATATACATATATAAAGTTGTAATCTCTGTTTTGCATCAAAGCAAGCACTATATGTATACTCTAATAGTATCTATATACATATATAAAGTTGTAATCTCTGTTTTGCATCAATGCAAGCACTACATGTATACTGAATAGTATCTATATACATATATAAAGTTGTAATCTCTGTTTTGCATCAATGCAAGCACTACATGTATACTGAATAGTATCTATATACAAATATAAAGTTGTAATCTCTGTTTGTCTGTTTGTTTATTTGTCCAATCATAACTCGGGAACCCCTGGACTGATTTGCATCAAAATTTGTATTGGGGAACTCGGGAGACCCATGAGAATGATCTTAGCTTGGTTTGAAGATTCTAAGTTAAGTGGGCCGGTCGACTTTAATAGCAAACATTCAATTTCCCGGTAAAATCGTTCAAGTGCAGGTAAACAGTGGGAGTAACTATGAGAAACCTGGGCAGCGCTGGGTTCCCAAGCTAGTTTTGTATAAATTGACATAATTTGCATTCAAAAATAATAAATAACACAATTAGCTAAAATATGTTACAAACAATTCAAACAATAATAAACAATTCAAATGCTTTTCTTTAATTAATGCACCATCTGTTAAAAAGAAGATGACATTTTCTTTAATATAGTTTCATAAAATTCACTAGCAGTCCCTTTAATATAGGTTTATACAATTCACTAGCAGTCCCTTTAATATAGGTTTATACAATTCACTAGCAGTCCCTTTAATATGGGTTTATAAAATTCACTAGCAGTCCCTTTAATATAGGTTTATACAATTCACTAGTAGTCCCTTTAATATAGGTTTATACAATTCACTAGCAGTCCCTTTAATATACATTGATAACCAGAAAACTCCGAAATAGGAAGACGTCTTTACAGCAATACTTAAGTGTTTTTAATTTTGTTACAAAGCAAATAGTTTTGATATTCTCTTTAATAATCACTTAGTAAATGACTAATAAAGTGAAATGGGTCTGCTTAGACTGACCAATTTCCCATGTTTATTGGACTATTTAAAGTCAAAACTTCAAACTAAAGTAGTCTTCCTATTCCAGAGCTTTCTGGTTATCATTGTATAGTTAGTAAAATGCAATTCTTTCAACATTTGTGTTAGTTACTTTTACCATTAAATACTTTTTACTTACAATTAAGGTTGACTTGTATCTCCCTGGAGAGGGGTAGAGAATCGTTAGTATTGCTAGCCTGACATATTTATACTTTATCCTCAAAACTTATTTATTTGTTTTCAAACTTAATTAAGATTGTAGCTGTCCTAATACTTCGCCGCAACAAAATTTTGCTGCAAAATCTTGTTTTATTTTTTACTTACAGGGTCTGTAGACCTAATTTCAAGTGTCTCTTCAGATTCACAACGGTACCCATTAAAGCTTTGTCTGTTCAAGTATGTTTAGAAAAAATGATTATTTATCAAATGGGGTTTCTCTACAAAAGTGACTAGAAGCTCATTTCTACTGCAGGCAACCAATGTAACAATTATCAGACTTAATTAGTTTTAAAGCTAGCAAAAGCGGCCTTAGTTTCCAAATTATTAATGAGATTAAGATCTCAGGGTACTGTTGTGAATCGGTCATTTTTAAATCCAGGTTCACTTACAATAGCGATAACTGCCCTTATAAAGTTAATAAAAAATAAGCTGTCGCAAGATTACTTTGATCTATAGAAAAAGTATAAAATCAGAAATGGAAAACAATTTAATATGTTACAATAAACGTTTTCAGATAATACAAAATATAGTTTTTCCATTAGAAAATATGGCAATAAACTTTGTTGAGAATTAATCGAGAATTTTCTTTTTCAAAAGTGTTTGCATTTTTTATATTACAAAATGTAAAGGAAAATTTTACAAAGAGAAAAAGGATGGGAGGATTCCGATTTCTCCAGCCCAAAACCAGAATATTATCACGGGCAGCTGTAGTACATTTTAATTTCCGAGCCGGGTCAACCTTTCCGGTCCCAGTTTGTGCTGTAGCTAGCTCTATGATCAGGACTAGCTGGTGCAACAAGGTTGACGCGGTCAGACTTTATGCTTCATATAGGTTGAATTTACTTTTACCAAAAGGGGCAGATTTGCGTGTTATGGAACTCATTTATAAAAATGTAAATTCATGAATAAATACTATGTATTTACAAAAAATAATTGGAAATATCTTTGATCTTTATAAAAATAATTTGCCTTGGCCATAATGAAGTTTGTGTGAACCATAGATTAATTGACAATAATAACTAGATGTTGTCTTTTCAAGATTTATTGGGTATTTCGTTCACAATAACCCTGAGGCAGAGGCCCAAATTAGTTAAACGCATGCTGTGTTGAATGACAAGACAGAGAGAGAGCATGCGCGTAACTCCTTTGGTTTTCTCCATCAGGGTTATTGTGAAAGAAGTGCCCCTAAATCTTGAAAAGACGACATCTAGTGTTCTGTCTGTATTTGGTTATTATTCTAGGGTGTGAACCATGATGAAGGGTTCTATAATAATAATAAAAGTAAATAAATGGATAAAGTTTAAGTTCCTGGCAGATAAACTTAGTTCCCAAATCTTCACGCTGAAATTTGGAAAATCAAAATCTTTTAATTAAATCAAAACTTTAAAAAAAGTTATTTTCCTGAAAGAGAATTCATTATCTTAATTGATTTAGTATTTAATCAATCAATTGATTTCTGTTCCTTAAGATTTAAATATTTCATTTTGTTCACCACTCTGCCATCAAGTAACTTCTGCAAAATCCAAACCAAATAAATTTTGATTTAAAATACACTCAAGGATTTTCCAACCAAAGACGATCTAGAAAATAACTAAACGGTTGACGGGGAGGGGGGGGGGCTGATTTGGGATCTAGTTTTTGAAAACCAAACTGGGGTTAAAATTTCCCCCTTATTTTTCCTGCATTTTTTAAAAAAATGTTGTAAATCCTACATCGCTTATTTATCTCACCAATTATTCTGATAAAAATGGAAATAAATGAAATATTTATCAATTTGTAATTGCAAATCCGACAAACCTTTATGAGGAAATTTACTTAATTACTAGACTTTAATAATTTATTTTCCTGTTAGGGCTAGATATGTTAATAGTTATAATTTGTTGATATTTATCATGCAAAAGTCCTGGGTATAAAGAGAACTTCTTCTTCCAAGCTAACAATGAATTAATTGCACTTTAGCTGTTTGCATATTCGCGATTACCATGTATATGTTCATACTCACAAGTTGCAATTTAACCTTTTTCCTTAGTCAAATTCTCAGTAGATTGTAATTAAGTAGATTTCCCCGTATAGGTTTGGCGGATTTGCAGTTACAATTAGATAAATTTGACACCCCCTCATGGATCTAACACAAAGTTTTTAAAAAATGTCCTAAAAAAAGCGGAAAAAATTAGGTTTTTTTATAATCCTCCATTTTGGTTTTAGATTAAAAACTAGATCAGAATTCAGGCCTGCATGCAAAAAAACAGAGAGATATCTCTTGTAATAAAGTCAGAAGGGTTCTTCAACCTTTTTGGAAGGGGTAATTCCTGGAAAGGGGGTAGGAATGGTATTAGGACAGGGGGAAATGAATTTAAAGTTTGAAAAAATGTCCGAAAAATAAGGAAAAAATGAGTGGGAAAATTATTATTCCCCTCTTCACAATTCAGGCCTGCATGCAAAAAATCAGAGAGAAATCTCTAAAAATGAAGTGAGAAGGCCCCCCACCCTTTGTATGGCCGGATGTAGCAAAAAGTTGAAAAATTGCCTGTGTAGCAGTTTTAGTGGACTGTGTGTCCTTTAGAACCCGGAAGTGTGGCCTGGTTAAGATTTGGCCTGTGTGTCATTTAGAACCAGAGAGTTAAGCCTGGTTGAGAAATTGTGTGTTTAGCAAATTCATTACACTGTGTGTCATTTAGAACTGGGGATTGCAGCCAGGGTAAGATTTGGCCTGTGTGTCATTTAGAACCAGGGAGTTAAGCCTGGGTAAGAGTTGGCCTGTGTGTCATTTAGAACCAGGGAGTTAAGCCTGGTTAAGAGTTGGCCTGTGGGTCAGTTAGAACCAGGGAGTTAAGCCTGGTTGATCTGAAAACAAGTGAGACCTGGATAGATACGTCTCGAGTAAATTGTTATGGAGTAGGCTTATACTACATGGAAATGTGGAATTCCCAGTTAAAAATAATATAAAGAAATAATAAAAATGCCGAAAATTTTATGAATCTTTTAATGGTTGGGTGCACATTGTTTGATGGGTCACTTAAGCTATGATTAAATATTAATAACAATTTTAAAACATAAAAGGTTTTTTTTCTTTAAAATTGTCTGGTTTGTTTTCCTCGTAAGATTGATCAAATATACTTCCTTCCTTCCACCAGACAACAACACGCTAACCTAAACATAAACAATATATATATATACACCACGCTAACCTAAACATAAACAATATATATATATATATATAAACCACGCTAACCTAAACATAAACAATATATATTTATATACACCACGCTAACCTAAACATAAACAATATATATATATATACACCACGCTAACCTAAACATAAACAATATATATATATATCCAACACGCTAACCTAAACATAAACATTATATATATATCCAGCACGCTAATCTAAACATAAACAATATATATATATATACACCACGCTAACCTAAACATAAACAATATATATATATATATCCAGCACGCTAACCTAAACATAAACATTATATATATATCCAGCACGCTAACCTAAACATAGACAAGATATATATTTCCACCACGCTAACCTAAACATAAACACTATATATATATATCCACCACGCTAACCTATACATAAACAATATATATATCCAGCACGCTAACCTAAACATAAACAATATATATATATATATCCACCACGCTAACCTAAACATAAACAATATAGATATATACACCACGCTAACCTAAACATAAACAATATATATATACACCAAGCTAACCTAAACATAAACATTATAAATATCCACCACGCTAATCTAAACATAAACAACATATATATCCACCAATGTTTATATATATATATATATATATATGCATGATATTCACAAGCTAGATATTTATAGTATTACAAGCTTGTGAACCCAGTTTCATGAAGAAAAAAATTATTCTTTTCCTTTACAAGTCGACTAACAGAACTTAAAACATTTAAACTAAACTAAAAACATTTACTTGATTAAAATGAGGTCCCCAACTACATAACATACAGAGAAACAAATACACAGCGCGTGATTACTACTTTATATTTGAAAATACAGGTTCAATCTATAGGGCACATAATAAACATTTACAAAGAAAACATCAAATATAATTTGTTTATTAATTTTACAAACTCTTCTTTCCTAAACCCATATATCTTTGAACATGAAGGGTGTAAAACTATGATTTTAAAATTTTAATAGTTAAATATACATCTAAGTTCCCTGTCTCTGAAAGAAAGTCTTTGTTAAGAGTTAAGTATTGATTTATAAATTATGTAAAAATGTTTTCAAATGTTGTGTTTTTCAAATAAACGACATTTTTAGTTGCACAGACTGGACAGGGTGCTTAGAACAATATAGATTAAAGGGGTGATACATTATTTTCAAGATTTGATACTGACCTCCTTGAACAACACATGTGACCTCTAAACTGTCCCCGACCTCGAAAGGACCAACATCATGACTGAGGATGTTTTGTCCAGCTTCATTAAGGATGGAAGGACGGCCAGGTGGAACTGAAATTAAGATTTTTTCAAATGCTTAAAAATTATGGCGTTTTTAAAACAACTTTTAAGTGACATTCCATGCGAAGATGGCAATGCCAAACACACAAAAGTACCGGCCTTAAAAACTAATTATTATTGACAATTGTGTAATTTCTAAAAAAGTGACTTGCACATTTATACTTGTAGGAAACCTTAAAGAAATTATCAGAACTGAACATGAAGTCCAGAAAAGAAACGACAATATTTTTTATATTATTGATCAGATAAAGGTTTCAAGGGTATCGATGTTAAAAGGACTTAAAGCATTCTTTGCTTGGAGGGTCACGTACTTGAAGTTACGGTTATAATCTCTTTAAATAAAATATTATGTTATTTTAGATATTGGTTGAGGGAACAATGAATGTTGCAGCAAAATCTTTATTTAAAAAATTACAATTTTCAAAATATATACCCCCCCCCCCCCCTCATAAACTGGTTCTGGAACAGACGCTTATGGTTTTTATATTCAATAAATTGAAATTCTTCTCTAAGAAAATCCAAGAAGCGGGAAAGGAAAATGCACACCATGAAAGCCAAACAAGTAATTTATTTAACTACTGTCTCCTTTATACCACACAGTTAAATAAATCTTACCTATTACAGAAAACTTAATTTTGTGAGATTTCGTCGGAGAGTTTTTGTAATCCACTGTACACCGGTACATGCCAGCATCCTGTACATAATATATTCATACATATATTTATAGCTTTGTAATCCACTGTACACCGGTACATGCCAGCATCCTGTACATAATATATACATACATATATTTATGTATATATTTATATAAATATAAATAGCTTTGTAATCCACTGTACACCGGTACATGCCAGCATCCTGTACATAATATATTCATACATATATTTACATATATATATTTATATGAATATTTATAGCTTTGTAATCCACTGTACACCGGTACATGCCAGCATCCTGTACATAATATATAAATCTATATAAATATATGAAACAATAAATAGTTGCACATTTTTTGGTCGTAACATGAAAATTGTTATATGAAAAGGGTTAAAATGAAAACGATTGTTTCCTTTGTTTTTAATCTTTGTGAAGAAACAATCTCAAGAACTGACGAGGGTCAACCCAGACCGAAATATATTTTCAATAAATGTGGAACTAACATCTACTTTTTTACTCTACAGAGGTTTGGTCCATCACCATCACTGAATTTTAGATTGTTTCCTTTCTCATTTTTTCTTGGGCCCAAACGAAAATGTGTATTGTGAGATGGGGAAACATTATCTCTCAACCTTTTAATGTGAAAAATGGTGTACGCCAGGGTGCAGTTTCCTCGCCTATATTATTTTGTGTTTATATAAATGATCTGAGCTGAAAACTTTAGAATGGAATATCCATAATCCCGATCGGTAAATTAATCTGGAGATTAATAAAAAGTGGTGAACAAGCATTATTTAATCTGGAGATTAAGAAAAAGAGTATATCAAGCATTAATCCTGATATCCACCATTCAAAAGTTCCCAGCTCAGATAATTCAACTTAGAAATCTGAAAGTTGGTTGTCAACTATATTGCGTATACCTAGGAATCTGGGTTTATGCGGATGACATTATATTATTATCTCCGAGTCGATCTGGACTACAGTTATTGGCTAATGTTTGTGAAAATTTGCTAGTCTTCATCAGTTAAAATTTAGCACAAATGTAGATGTTTCCAAATCAAAAACAAAATGTATAATTTTCAGTAACCCTGTCATGAATACTGATAATATTTGCCCGATACTTTTAAATAATTTACCCTGACCTTATGTAATGGAAATTAAACATCTTGGCAACACACTACAGTCTAATGGTTCTATGACAAAAGATGGTAGCTGTAAACGTGCTAAATTTATTTCTAAAATACATTCTCTTTATCAAGAATTTCATTATGCTAATACATCCACAGTGTTAAAATTGTACAATATATATACTTGCGATTTCTATGGCTCAAATTTCTGGGATTTATACAGTAGGGATATTCAAAAACTCCTGAATTCATGGAACATTGCTATTCGCATTTTATTTGATCTACCAAGAGAAACCCAAAGAAATTTCATTGAGCCCATTTCTAATGTTCCTAATATTAAAACAGTTTTATGCACTCGTTTTGTACAATTTGTGACCAATTTATCAAATTGTCATAAGCTATGTATTCGACTTTTAGTAGATCTAAGTAAACAGGATTTAAGAACTGTTTTATGTAAAAATCTTGAATCTATTGCACAAAATTGTAATGTACAATCTAGAAATCTAAGCAAATTTTGCGTGAAACAAAATATGACATACAATCATATTCCTTTAGACCAAGAACGGAAATTATCCATTCTTCATGAATTACTTAAAGCTAAAGAAGATAATTTTGTTCTAAACAACTTTAATGATAGAGATCGCAACCATGATCAACTTTTTATGTTCCGACTAGAAACTATATTTATATATTATACTTTATTCTTGTTTTTGTCTTATCATATTTTACCATTTTACCTTTGTGTACGAAATAAATCTATAATAATAATAATAATTTACAAAAAGTGAAAGCAGTCCCACCCCTGATTTAATCTTACATACAATATTTACTATAGATTGACGTGATATAATCATGAACATCAGAAAACATATATTATAAATTCCGTAGAGTCGTCTCTGAATTCTCATCCTCTGTGTTAGTAACCAGTAAATACCTGTGGTAGAACTTGATCAATGATGAGTCCAGTTTTATCTTCTACAGAGCTGAAAGTTGACCGGATTCCCAGCGGGCTGGTGTCAGACCATTGTGATGCAGCTTTTAGAGGTTTACTCATGACATCAACACTAAAAATAAAATAGTAAGAGAATAAATGTCGTATTTGTTCTTTCTTTTACTCATAAAATGTCCATGGCCACAAATAAATAAATTTTTAGGAACATTTAATCATAAGGAAAAAAAGAAAATGACGAAAATTCCACTGTTTTCTGGTTCTCACGCTGGGTCGTCCCAGTACATCAAATGAACCTGAGTATTTCGTGAAATAATTTAATTTTACTTACAATTTACACATTTACATATTTTCAGCGGGTTGATTGCACTAAATTCCGGCGGGCTGGGTACCTGTACATTGGTTTAGTGGCATTATCCTTAAACCACAGAATAAGCTCAATATCGTCTTTGCTACCGGAGGAGAGAACATCACAGGACAGGAACCCAGTGGAACCAAGTTGGGCAACTGTTTGTGTTACAGGAACTAAATATTTACTTTTAAAACCAACATAAAATATATTTGTCATATCGAGGTATTCCAACCAATACAAAACTACGATAAGTGGAGTATGGGAAGAATTAATCATTATCATTGGAATACTATTAGAGACCCCCTTTCATTGGAGACCCCCATGAACGTTTCGATTGAAAACTCCAGATTATCGTTGGATACCCCCATATTTTCATTGGAGACACCCAGATTCTCGTTGGAGACCTCCATATTTTTGTTGGAGACCCCCATATTAATGAAATTAAATGAAAATCTGGAATTCTCCAAATTCTCCCATGAAAATATGAGGTCTCGAATGAAATCAGGGGGTCTCTAAATAAAATTTAGGGTCTCCAACGATAATCTCGGGTTCTCCAACGTGACGTTCCTAGGAGTCAATGATAGGGTGTCTCCAATAGTGCTCCAATGATGAAGAAAATCAGATTTTTGTGTGTCGTAAACATTTTAGATTATTTTAAATCATCTGTAAAGCCAAAAAACATGAAAGAGTTTTAATCGGCACAAAATTATGAATGTAGAATAAAAACAATATTTCAACCAAATATTTTCGTATTTTATAAATACTTTCAGTCAGTCGATATATTACTTATTACTTTCTGAGGACTCTATACTTGATTGATTGGTTGATTGATTGATTGATTGATTGATTAATTGATCTGTTTACCTGGTCTTTCCATATCTGTAAGAATAGAAGAGTTAACTGTGTACCAGGGTCCTAGATGGACCAGGCAAAAACTTATAAACACTAAAGGGTCAAGTCAATATTATCAAAGTGCTTAAATTGCTGCATTTTAATATCTAAGATTTTTGAAAATGTAAAGTTAATTTGTTTAAAATCAGCCTGAGATATTACCTTGAAAGAGACTGCAGTTTTAATTTCAGGGGTTTAAACTCCTTTCATTTTAAAAAAGGGAATGCCCAATTCACAACTGTAATTTTTGATCAATACAAACAATAGTTTGATAGTCTAGCTTGTCGACATCAGGTTGCAGTGAAATACGGATTGGAAAATCAGATTTTGTGTTTTTTATTTAGAATTTTGCTTTGGTTTTAAAAATATATTCATGAAACAGAATTCCTTAGCTTCCTTAGCTTATTGTGCGTTTTTTTAAGAAATAAAATCATAATTTGAGCTTTTTCTAGATCAATACGCTAAACACATTAAATTAAGCATTGCAAATTCTAAAGTTTAAAGTTTTTTTAAGTCTCATTAATATTTGATAGTTTGATTTCCTGTATATGATCGCATGCTGAATTATGAAATTAAATCTCTTTAATTTTCTTCTTTCTGATATTTATAATCTTTCACTGCTTTCTTCATGAATTGAATATATTCATTTAGCAGTTTTAGAAGTTTTTCCTTTTCTATACAAGTGTTATATATTTATCATTTAAGATAAAATATGTGCATGACTTTGACATGAAAAAATGCAAAATTTCATCTTTTCAATATTTTTAACTATTTTTACTGAACGAAGGTGTCATCAAATATACAATATTTTGATGCTAAATTTGTCAATTAAAAATGATTTTATGCATTAAGGCAGCAAGCATAATTTTTAACTTAAAGCATAGATTGACTTTATGTAATATTTCAGTTTTTATTCAATGCAATTCCTGTTTTTGTTCACATCTTTTTTCAGTCTTTAATGGTTAGACATTTCTCATTTTTCCAGCATTTTAAGCCCATACACTTTCTGAAAATATGAAAATTTTATATTTATACATGTTTAAATCGTTAAAATCAGAATATAACTTTGTTCAAAAATAGCTAAACAACACATTGATTAAAATTAAAAAATTGTATAAAAACGGAAACATAATATTCTTGTTATATTATTTATTTCTAAACATATTTGGAGTATTGTCGTTTCTATTTTCTATATTGGATTAGCTGTGCTTTAAAAGGACTGTTAGGGCAATTGTCCACTATTGTATGCCGAGTCCATTAGCGCCTGATCCAATCAGGGTTCAGCCATGTGTTAGGTGTCTATTCTGAACCAATGAAAATTACATGGCGGTAGAATCTACTTTTCTATCTAGCTCATCATCCAATTAGAGATAAATCCTTATATCGGCGCTATACAATAAATGGAAATATTTACTGAAACTATAGTGTCTGTAGTATGTCCGGATACGCTGGAGGGGTTGGGGGTCAAGTTGACCCCCACCCCTCTAAATCCCATGTTTGATGTCCAAATATGATAAATTATACATCATTGAAAAGCTCTTATGCTGCACAAATAATTTGCAAACATTTCTTTGCAAAACAATTCGTCTCCTTATGTCATAGGCTTTCCTGAGGACTCAGACAGGAATAGGGTTAAACCTTTTCCTGAGGACTCAGACAGGAATAAGGTTAAACCTTTTCCTAAGGACTCAGACAGGAATAGGGTTAAACCTTTTCCTAAGGACTCAGACAGGAATAGGGTTAAACCTTTTCCTGAGGACTCAGACAGGAATAGGGTTAAACCTTTTCCTGAGGACTCAGACAGGAATAGGGTTAAACCAGGACTCAGACAGGAATAGGGTTAAACCTTTTCCTAAGGACTCAGACAGGAATAGGGTTAAACCTTTTTCTGAACAAGTTCACCAGAGTTATCCCTAACTTTTTGTCTAAACAATGATTGTTTTCCAAATTACAGTGACTTTTTTAAGTTTGTATCAGTCTAAAAATGAAAATGATATTTCGCAAGGTGACAACTGATAGCTTTCATTTTTTCAAGCACATTAATCAAAATTAAGAATGAAGAAAATATGATTTTTAAACTGGATCATCTATTTCAAAGTCGATCTTCAACCCCCTTTCTAAATTTGTGAACTCTCCCTTTAATGTTTAGTTGAATAATCAGCTCGTCTATTCAGCCCCAGTATGCTCCAAGGAAAAGAATATTCAGCCTAATATTGGTTCATTACTTGAAAATGCCTCAATAATGAAATTACAATAATGTTAACATTAGTTGAAATATATCAAATAAACACACACAAGTGTTATTGTGTTCCTCTGATAGTAATCATTAAACATATGTATAAAGTCATATATTCAATGTGTAAACACAAAAAGGCTTAACCCATTCCTGGGAGCTAAAACCCTGGAAGCTACTCAAAACCCTGGAAGCTACTCAAAACCCTGGAAGCTACTCTAAAACCCTGGAAGCTACTTCATACCCATGGGAGCTACTCCAACACCCTGGGAGCTACCCCAAATGACCGGGAGCTACTTCAAACACCGAAAAGCTACTCCAACCTCAGAGGCTACTCCAAAACTTTGGGAGCTACTTCTAACCCCTGGGAGCTACTCCAAACCCCAGGAAGCTACTCCAAAACCCTGGGAGCTACTCCAAACTCCTGGGGCTTTATAGTTTTAAAATACTTAAATTCATACACACATGTGGAATTGGAATGATATTTTGATACGATCAATGGTTAAATATTTAATTTATAATTTATTTTACCGGAAGAATTTAATGTCTGTTTTGATTCTCCTGATAAGTTTTCAGAAAATTGTTNCCATCTTGAATAAAATAGTTGGTAAGAGAAGGCAATGAAACTAAAGTGAAGATAGAAAAGAAGAGATTCTGTGTACCTTAGATTCATATCCAAATTTAGAGGTATCCGGCCCAGGGTTTTCAGCGGAATTTTAAAAAATCGTTCTGCGAAAATTCCGCATTTTGCTCTGAAATATTTTGTTGACCAAGTACTCCTTATTTTTCGCATAATTTTGCAAAAAAAATTAAGAATTGATGTGGAGCAAAAAAACAAAAGGTCTGCGAAAAAAGTTTGCGAAATTTTCTCATTTTTCTGAAAAGTTTTCTTCCCTCGGAAACCCTAAATTCCGGCCTGAGAGCTTGGATACAATTGTATGAAAATAATCATTAGACACATTTTACAATTTTATAAAACATATTCATTTAGACTTTGCATTGAAATGAATGATAATAAGAACAATAGCACCCTCCTTCCATCTTTTGTTCCCCAAACCCCTTTGTTTTGCCATGTATTGAGTAGAGCTGCAAATCATAATACAATACTACTACAGTTTACTATAATTGTATCAATTAAGATAATTATAGGTAAATAGTGTTAATCATGCACATTACACATCGGTGTCGGTGCTTTTTGCAAAAATTCGCATTTAAATTTTGCAAGATTTTGTGTGGCTGACTTTAATTATTGTTTACTGACAATAAATTACATTCAGAATAATAACTCTCTTCTACACTTTGTATAACAGAGGGTATGCTGACAATTAATCATTAAAAATAGTCTGATAATAACAGTCATAAACTTATATTATAAAGCATTATAGGGCCTTACAGATATTTTCGGTGGAAAACAGTGCACAAAGAAATTTTATAAAACAATAACACAAAAACTCTTCAAACAGAATTTAATTAATCATTACATAATGATCTAATTCAAGAAAGTGAACTTAACCTATGGTTTTCCTTATTCCAGAAAAATAATCTATTTCAGAAATGCAGAGTTTTGAACAGTAAGAAGGGATTGAACGGAATGGAACAGCTAAAATTAACCATATTCAGACTGACGGAGGTCTGGTTCTGTTAACGGAAGGGAGGTTTTCGAAAATTAACGGAAGATTTTTTTTCAAACCGGTTAATTTAGTTTTTTTTTCTTCTTAAATTGCATTAAACTTAAAAAAAGGGTTTTTATGTGTTTTAATGTTTTTGGATGTCGTCTGTGTTCACAATCTTAAATGCTGAGAATAAAGAATTGAGGTAACCTTTGAATTTTGATAAAAAAATTTGGAGCTTGACAAGTCGTGAAAGATTCTGGGTTCTCCTCAGATTAGGATAAATAAAGCTCATTTTGATATTTAGAAAAGGATAAATATAGTTCAACTGCTAGTGCAGTTAACGATTTGTCAAACCATTTTAACTCCCTTATTACCACAAAAGACCGCTAACGACTGCCTTATCAACAATTTAATAGCCGGTAGTGATTTCTTAACCTGTAACGATTTTTTTTCAAAGTTAATAATGTAATAGACCCTTAACGACTGGAGCGATTAACGATTAATGAAAATTGTCCATTAACATAGGCATCTGTGCAAAAACCTATGCTCAATTTCTTTGCAAAAATTTTGCAATCTGCTTCCTTTTGTTCAAGGCTTAATAAGCTGAAATAGGGTTTATAATGTGACATTTATAAATGTAATGTTATTCATCATTTTTTATGTAATTTCGATTTTTTTTAAAATGTAGATGGGGATAAATTCTTAAATTCTGATGTACAATTACCGCGTATACAATAACCTATTCTGAATATTTCTTAAACAAATGGTAGGGCGGGCCGCGGACCGCGCCAGTTATATCTCCCTTCTATTCCCTACTCCCTGATTGGCTCCCATCGATATAAATTTACATTTTTCGTTAATCTTGTTTACATTTCTTAATTTTTTTTATTTTATTTGCAAAAGGCTAAAAAATGACATCAAGCTCAATATAATTATAAAACAGCCTGCAAACAAAGTGTTCATTAAATTACTAATGTTTCTATAGAAATAAAAAAAAAAATTCTGTCAAGAATAGTCAAACCATATGATTATACATGCTTTGCAAACGGCCCCATGTTAAATAGAATGTTAATTGAATTACGCTTACAGTCCCTTTAACTTACAAAAGCTCTCTTTTAATGAGAAAATTAGATTGCATGAGATGGAGTAAGAAACACACTTTTAATAAATAGATTTGGCAAGCTTCAGCTCTAATCTTGATTATATACAACTATTGACAACCGATAAGAGAGAAAAGAGAAACACCAGAGAATATTATACAGTAACAGTCAGTATTTATATATCTTTAACACAACGTTTTCAATATCTTTTTCCTACACTGTTTCCAATATTGTACTTCATTTGAATATAGGTTATTGTATAAATTAAAAACAGGGAAAAAATCAAGCTGAATAATGCAAACAAATATTTTTTTTGGGAAGCAAAAATATTAACAATACAAGCGTATTTTTTTATAATATAAATATTGGCTTTATTTAACTTGGTAAAGTAAATAACCACCTTTAAGAAATTTAAAGACGACCTTTTCAAATTAAAAACTCTTTTTCTAATGGAGTGCCCCGTCTGCAAAAAATCTACAATTCATATGGTAGGGCGGGCCGGGTAGATTCCATATCCTTTATATTCTCTGCTCATTGAATCCACAAAATTTAAAATATTGACCAAATATTAATAACCGACTGATTTTAAAGTTGTTACGCATTTTTCTTTTCAACACTTTACAGTTGTCATATCCCTGTATAGTTGTGGCGATCATATTTAATATTTCAAATAAAAACTAT